GTTCAAAGCTTCTCTCTGGTCTTTTCCCCTAATCGTCTATCCTATGCATGGTATTAGCCCCACCTCTCTGCCCCCTGAAAAATTTATTGTCACCACGCCTATGGAGCTCATGGAATATACAGGCCTGGGCTCCCATCTCCATCTTCCCAGGGACCCCAACTCAGAAAGCCAGGTCAGGCGCAGAGCAGTCCTGGTCCCCCGTCTCCACACCTCCCCATGGCTACACACAAGCGTCTTATTCACATGGTGCTCCCAGTGCCTGGCACACGTTCTGATGCTTAAAATAGGCATACAACCAGCCTTTGTTGGGGAGAGGAAGGAAGGAAGGAAGGCTTTGGACAAAGGAGACTGCAACTCAGCCATCCAGAAACCCTGGGCATGTGCCAGGGTGGGCTGCAGGGGGAGTGGGAGAAGATAGTTCCTGGAGTCAAAGTGAAGGTTGCTCAGGAAAGGTAAGGCGGGGCCCACTCCCACAGTGCCACAAAGGCTGCGTAAGGGATTTTGATTTTGCCAAGTGGGTGATGAGTTGGTGAAGGTGGCAGGGAAATGACAAACCAATCTGTGCTTTAGAGAGCGGATCCTGGTCATGTGGGGTCGACCCAGCAGAAGGAGAAAGATCGGAGGCTGATCCAGCAGCTGGGATGTTCTGAGTAAGAGACAGTGAAGCACTTAACTCGGGGGAAAGAAACACAGATGGAAGAGACAGAGGTAAAAGCTAGAGGGCTGACACCAGGCAACCTCCCAACCTTCAGTTTAGTGGGTTGTCGACTCCCCAGAGAAAAGCCATTTAAATAGCAACATGATTTGCCCTGGCCACATGACTCGGTTGGTTGATGCGTCATCTGCGCACCAAAAGGTTGTGAGTTCGATTTCTGGTCAGAGTACATACCTAGGTTGTGGATTTGATCCCCACTTGGGGCATGTACAGGAGGCAATAAACTGATGTTTTTCTTTCACATCAATGTTTCTTTCTCCCTCCCTTCCACTCTCTCTAAGATCAATTATGTATATTCAATCTCAGGTAAGGATTAAAAAAGAAAAGAAAAGCAGCCTGGGCTGGTGTGGCTCAGTGGATTGAGTGCCAGCCTGCAAACTGACGGGCTGCCAGTTCGATTCCCAGTCAGGGCACACACCTGGGTTGCAGGCCAGTTCTCCAGTAGCGGGGCACGTGAGAGGCAATCACGCATTAATGTTTCTCTTTCTCTCTTTCTCCCTTCCTTCCCCTCTGTCTAAAAATTAAAAAAATAAAATAAAAACAATTGTTAAAAAAATATAGCAGCATGATCCTTCACTCCCAAAACTGGAAGAAGGACAACCCCGATGTCCACCAATGGATGAATGGATAAATACAATGTGTCCATCAACACACTGGAATGTTACTCAGCCAGGAACAGGAGTGAAGCACTGACACTCACTACAATGTGGATGAACCTTGAACACATGATGCTCAGTGAGAGAAGCCAGACACAAAAGGCCACACAGTGTGTGATTCCATTTATGTGAAATGTTCAGATCAGGCAAATCCAGAGACAGAAAGTGGATTAGTGGTTGCCAGAGGCAGGGGAGGGGGTGGAGAGGTGACTGCTTATAGGGAAAGAGGATTTTATTGGGGTGACAGAATGTTTCAAAACAGGTTTAGGGGGATGATGGTTGCACAACTTGATAAAATTACCAAAAAAATTGAACTGTGTACTTAAACAGCTGGGTTTTATGATATGGAAATTATACCTTAATTTAAAAAATTAAAAACAATAAGACTTTCCCCTTTGCAAGGTCCTCAAGAACTAGTAGCCACTTCTGGAAGAGTCTCAGAGCTGCCCAAAGCCCCCTGCCCACCCACTGGCAAGACAAAGTACATTTAGAGAACTCAGCTAATCAATCCCCTGCAGAGTGGTCAAGGAGAAGAAGGATGAAGTGACCTCCTGGGACAGATCGCCCCACCTTTTCCGCTCCCCTTATCTGGTTTCTAAGATCTCCTGGGTAACACATGTAACGAACTCTTTCCTCTAGACCCTGAAGAGAGGGGGACCACCCCAAAAGGCAGCACAAGATAGAAGAGAGGAAAATCAAGGTCCAAAACTGTCAAAAGGAACAGTGGAACTAGGGGGAAGCTCCCCAAATTGGCAGGAAGACAGGATTGCAGGATACAGCCCTTAAAGGACCCAGCGGACCCAGACCCAGCCCTTAAAGGACCCAAGCAGAGAGGCTGAATGGGAGACAAAGTTTCAAAGGCTGTTGTTATCAATTAAGACATTTATAAGAAATTACTTTAAGGAATACAAATGACCTACTAAATACAATTTTAAAGACGATTATTTGTTACCAGGTGCAAATGAAGAGACCTGTGATAACAACTTGAATGGAAGACGTGTTTTAACACTACTACTCAGTGGACCAAAATATAAATGCCTCCATTCAGCAAACAAGGAGCTGAATCCTCTGCATGTCAGAGTACTTCCCATTCAGTTATCTTATCATCAAACAACAGGACCCAAGATTTACTAAACAAGAGCAGAAAACCATGGTGTCAGTCACAGGATCTTCCCTACAGAAGACCTGAAGAGCTCAAGCTTCATGCTTTAAATCAAAACGAACGAAGCAAATTGCACACTTTGGCATCTTTCAATGCCAGCAAAGATCATTTAATCCCATATTCAAAACCAGTCTAAGTGGTCAAAAGCTACCCAAAAGACCTACCTAGAAAGAGATCAGTGTTCCTAAAATTCTCTAAAATCAATGTGATTTTTTCTCCTCTTAAAATGAAAGCACTCGATGATTTAAAAACAACCCCCAAATCCGGGCTTAACTTTCTAAGAATCAAAGGTGAGATGTGGTCTTTAAAGAAAATAACTTAGGCCCTGGCTGGTGTGGCTCAGTGAATTGAGCACCGGCCTGCAAACCGAAGGACCACCAGTTCAATTCCCAGTCAGGGCACATGTTTGGGTTTTGGGCTAGGTCCTGGTAGGGGGACATGTGAGAGGCAACCACACATTGATGCTTCTCTCCTCTCTTTCTCCCTCCCTTCCCCTCTTTCTAAAAATAAATAAGTAAAATCAAGAAAGAAGAAAGAAAACACCTTAGTTTTATTTATAATAGGGGTGGGTCTCAAGTGGGGCAATGCTGCCCCCCAGGGACACTGGGTGCCACCTGGGGACAATTGTAGTTGTCACAAATAGGGGTGATCCTGGCATCGAGTGGGTAGGGGCCAGGGATGCTTCTCAGCACTCCACAGTGCCCAGGCCAGCCCCAAAATCAGCTGAGTCCATAGAGGGACCCAAGTCTATCAGAAGAGATAAATAATCGTGGCCCAATGGTTCCCTCCCAATGGCTCCTGTGGGGTACACCTAAATCAGAAAGCCGTGCACCACCTTCTGTTAAGTAGACACGCTTGTTCCTTAACAAACCTTCATAATTTCCTGGCATCAGATCCAAACAGATTCTTCTTTTTCTGTTTGTTTTTCCTGACTTATAATAATAGGAACTTTTTTTTTTTTGGCAGGAGTGATTCTTATGTGCATCCCCAAGGTTAAAAGACTCAAGTCAAGCTCTAACTCCTTCTCTCCCCTCCCTAACAACCCAGTTATTCTACCCACCCACCTTTCTTCCCTCCCCCACAAAAAACCTTAATTTAGAACATTATTATCAATGCTGCACGTAGTCTCACCATGCGCCAGTAGTGTGCTAGGTACATGCACTCTCTCATTTGACTTTGACTTTCTCAGCCATCCTATGAGATGCCTGCTACTGTTATTCCCACCTTATGGAGGAGTCAACTAAAACTCCCAGAGGCCACTTGGCCAAGCAGGAGTCTGATACAGTGTTAATTTCTGCACTACACTGTTAACACTGGGGGAGACCTCAGCACCTGAGGAACAAGTTTGTAAACTTGGCTTTTGCTTCACTGACACTTAGCAACAGTGGGAGCTTCTTCCCTGCTGCTCCTCATGCCTGTCTTCTCCCACCCACCTTCCAGCCCCTAGCAACCCCGTTCCCCAGGAAAAATAAAGTGCCAAACTGCTGCCCACATCCCTCAATATTATCATACCCAAAACTCCCACTTTGCTTCCTTGCTCCTGAGCTCAAAAATTCCTGAAAAATTCAGTCTCCAACACCAGCATTTTCTGTTTCCCAAGATGCTCTCTATGCACCCAACATCCCAGATACAGACCTTGCAAAGTATGTCGAACTCCTTCTCCAGCTCAGTGGTACCAAGGGGCTTCCACCCCACTCTCCCTTCTACACCAAATAATTAGCTCTTCCCACCCCCCGCCCCAGAAGTGGAGACGAGTCCTTTCCACAATCCTTATAACTGACTTCCAATGAAGACCCTCCCATTTCCTCCTGATTAGTTAACTTCCAACAAAACACCTGCCATCCCTCTGTCCCACCATCGCTCGGTCCCCCACCTTCTTTCTCATCTCCTCAAGCACTTCTAACTCCACGTCTCCGGACATCCCTCGGACCCCTTCTGAAAGGAGCCTGACCCACCTCCATCTCTCAGCCCTCCTTAACTGCCCTCCAGCCTCTTTTCGGCTCGCCCTAACCCCACATTTCTCAGTCACCCTTCCGGAACAACTCGACCCCCAACTCCATTCCTCAACCCCTTCCCCGGCTAACCTCCACCTTCAAATCCACTTCCCACCCCTCCCCAAATAACATCCACCCTCAACTCGAACCCTCTGCCCCTCCCCAGCTAACTCAGAACCCCCAATTCCATTCCCAGCTAATCCCCATCTTCAACTCCACCACCGGCCCCCTCCTCAAATAACCTTCACCTTCAACTCGAACCCTACCTCCTCCCCAGCTAACCTCGACCTCAACTTCAGTCACCTCCCCAGCTGACCTCGACCCCCCCAGGTTCCCAGACAAATGGAAGCCCTCTCAGCGCTCACCTCCCGCGCTTCACGGGCCTACCCTCTGCCCCAACCGCGCCCCGACCTCCAGCGCCGGAGTTGGGGGCGTCGGACCCCGGCCCGAGCCGCGACCGCACGCGCCCTTACCTATGCTCCGGCGGCCGCGGCCGACTCAGCCCCGCTGCGCAGCCGAACCCGCCGCCTGGCGCGGGAGCGCTCCCTCGTCTCTGGGGGCGGGGCCGGCGCGCGGTGGGTGAGCACTGGAGGACGGCGCAGCCAATCGCGGGCCCCGGTAGCGGGAGCCGGGCCCGAGGCGAGGCGCAGGGCGAGCAGCGGGGTAGGCTGCGCCCGGGAGAGGGGGCGGGGCTCAGGGCGCGAGCGGGGCCTGGAGGTGGAGAGCTGAGTGGCACTGTTGCTGGCCACCGGCGAGCGGGGACCGCACGGGGGGCGGGGCTATGTTAATATGCAAATAGAACATTGTGTTGGGCTCTGCGGCCGGGCAATACGCTGATTTTCAGAGGCCTTTTGGTGACGCCGAGGAGGCGCGGGGTTTTTCGAGAGTTCGAATCCCAAATCTTAGATGCCGGGGCTTGCTTGAAGGACAGGAAAACTGTCCCCTCTTGATCGGTCGCGTGACCTGCAGGACACTAGTAATAAATGCTCCCTTTCCTTGAACCCTCTGCCTAAGGCTAGAGAAGAAATTATAAAATTCCCATTTTAGGGAGGTGGAAATTGAGTCTCAAAGAGGTTAAACCCAAGGTCATTCTCCAAAGTCTAGCTCATAATTTCCAGGGTTTCGCAGTTTCCTAACTCCTGGGCCCCCATCCATATGGAACGATCCAGAAGCCTACAAGAGCTAGATCCCAGGGATGTGCATTTTTAAGATGCTCCCGTGGTGCTGTTGGAAAACACTTAGTATGTCTCCAAAAGCACCCAGAGCTCATGGAGGGTAGAGTTTTTATACAGGAGAATGCAGCTACTATAGTCTGGACTTGAACGTGGTGCAACACTGACGCTTTGTGATCTGAGCGGCTGGCCTCGCAGCTGGACACCCCAAGGGTCCTCTGATCCCTGCAGGAATATCCCTGCTCCTCCCCTGCAGCTCAGAGAGAACTAAGCACCCGAGACAGGCATCTCACTCCCTAGCTTACGTTCCCTCAGAGGAATTACTGTACGAACAAGGGTCTCAAACTTATCCTGGGACAGGCGAGATGTGGCCCACACATCCTTTCAAAATTCTAAATTCATTGCCAAAATTTGCCCTGGCTACTGCGGCTCAGTAGACTGAGCGTCGGCCTGCTAGTTCCAATCCCAGTCAGGGCACTTGCCTGGGTTGCGGGGCCAGGGCCCTACTTAGGGGTGTGTGAGAGGCAACCGTTTGTTTCTCTCTGTCTCGTTCCCTTCCCCTCTCTCTAAAAATAAAGTAAATAAAATCTCTATAAAAAATTCATTGCCAACATTTAAAAATGCTTCATAAAAAGAAATCCAGATTCCAGGATCTCTAGAAAAATCAGAAGGTCTGGTGATTCCTGCAGCAGCTGGATGCAGCACCTGGATGAAAAACCTGCGCAGGCAGAGTCGGGACTAGGGTGAGAGAAATAATGCATTTTACTCAAATCCAAAACCTAAAAAGTGGGGGGGGAGCACTCGCGGTCAGGAGAAATACTATGTTAATGATATATTTTAAAATGTCAAAATAAATGCTGAGATAATCTAGAATGAACAAAACACCAAAATTTTCAAGAAAGACAAAATGTACTTCTGCACTTGTGCAAACTACGTCCCTTGCTTTTCCCTAGCCCAGGCCCTGTTAAATCCTGTCCTTATGTAAAAGACCGGTGCAGCCCTGGCTGGGTGGCTCAGTTGGTTGGAGCATCGTCCTGTGCACCAAAATGTGGGTTCAATTCCTGGTCAGGGCACATACATAGGTTGTGGTTTGATTTCCAGTCAGGGCACATACCAGGAGCAGCCAACCGCTGTTTCTCTCTCACATCGATGATGCTCTGCCCCCAACCCGTGTCTCTCTCTCTCTCTCTCTCTCTCCCCCCCCCCCAATAGAAACATACCAGGTGAGGATTTAAAAAAAAAAAAAAAGATTGATTCATTGTTTCTCATGGCTTCTTTTGCTGTTTCTTGACGGCTGAGATTTTTGGCACCCCCTCCTTTAAGCTTTACACCCCTGGTGAGTACATCTCTCCCCTCATCTAGTCCTGCCCCTGCTTATAAGCTTGTAAATTCAGCCCTAAGCCATTTAGCAGACAGGAACTAAAGCCCTGTGGGTTCCTGTCCATGTACTATAGAGCTCATAGTGCCTGCCTGATCTCCTGAACTGGCTAAAATAAGTGTAGCATCAGCACGGCTTGTGAGGTCTCTTGTGGGGACCATGATGTTCCCTTGTCATCTCATTGGCCTTTTCATAAAAACCCATACTCTTCCCACAGCCCACTGGGCTGTTCCACCCTGCTCACCTCTCTGATCTTGGCTTCTGCGTTTCCCTCACTCCTCTTCTGCCACCCTGGCTTTCATTGATTCCTGCCTCAGGGCCTTTGCACAGGTCCTTCTCCCAGCCTCGTGCTCTACCCCAGATCATCCTCTTGGGGCTGGCCTCTACTTTGCCTTCCTGTGTCAGCTCAATGTCACCTTCTGTGTCAGCTTGGCCTCCCTAACCACCCACACTCCTGCCCCCATGTCACTTTTGTGTTCCAGATTTTCCTTCTTCACAGCATGTATCTGAAATGATCCAATTCAATTCTTTGGCAGGGGGATGATGTCCTCTTTCCTAGCAGGTTATAAGCTCTGAGAGGATAGGGACCGGGGGTTTGAATCTGTCATTGCTATGTGTCCAACATCCAGGGACGGTCCAAGCACACAGTTGGTGCCTATTACATACTGGAAGAATGAATGAATGAATGAATGAATGAATGGTGTTTCAGTTCTTCCTCCCAATCTGTTCCTGAACCAGACCTTATCCCTTTGCTCTGAGATGCTTGCCTGGCCTGGTGTGAATGAGTGGGAAGGAGGCTGGAATGGCAGACGAGAAGTCACGTGAGACAAGTGGAAAGGAGAGGAGGGCGGTCCTTCTCTGCTCCTTCTTCCCCACCCTGAGCTTTTGTGAGCACCCCTACTCACCCCCTCTGTGAGCCCTACAGAGAAATCACCCATTCACAGAAAGTCCAGGGAAGGTGCCCCAGGTGAATGAGAAACTGTGCAGAGTGAATGAGAAACTGAGGCCTTGGGGAGAAGCCTGGGCCAGAGCCACACAGAGACGTGGCTGGCAGAAGCATCTATCACAGACTGCTCCTGCTCCTCCTTCTTTCCTCACTGCCCTCCCACCTGTCCCATCCTCATCCCTCCCCTCCCCATACCCACCTGACTCTCACCACCCACTTCATTCCTCTCTTCCTCACCTCCATTATTGACCCATCCCGCACCTCTTCCATCCCTCACCTCCATCCCTCACCTTCCCACCCTTCATGCCCTCATCCTTTGCAGATGGAAGCTGACCCCCATACCCCCAAAGAAGGAGCACCAGTGGGGAATGGAGGATCCACTTCTTTATTGCAGGAAGACTATTTCTAGAGCAAATGCTAAACAGACCCCACAACAGGGGGTGGGGGCACCCACATGCGGAGGGAGAGGGGGCAGGGGTGGGATCACGGCAAGCATGGCCTGGCGCCTGGCACGGTCCCCAGACCCAGGGATACCCAGGCAGGAAAAGCCAACAGCCAGGGCAGGCTCTGTCCCCTCCTGCTGCAGACCCCTCTGTCCCCAGGGTCAGGGTAGGGCCTGAGGTGGAAGAAGCCTGGAGGGGCGGGGCCCCAGGGAGATTGTGCTATCAGGGTGTGTCCCTGAGAAAGGGCTGCAGACCCCTGCCCAGCCTCACCCACTCAGGCACCTTCAAGGCCCAGGAACCACTCCAAGGGTGGGGGAGGGGCATCACCAGCTGCTGGTGGACCCTGGACCTGCCACAGGATAAGAGGACTCAGCTGTGCTTAGACAGAATGCTACCATCCCTTCCATGGGCCTGTCCATGTGCCTGGCGGTCACACGCACTCACACACATTCCCTCTCTCTCATAGTGCGCCCCATAAACATCTGCGGAGTGAGCGATCACATTAACAAAGAAAAAAAAATAAACACACTGTTACTAAGTTGGACACAAATGGTACTTCTTATCCACATACAGTCCCATGTGGTCACATGATTAGACAGCCTCACGGCTTCTCTCTCTCACACACACATGTGCAGTTCAGTCTCAGCATGCACAAGCACACACAAGCACATCCACATGCAATTTCCTGGCATCCAATGACACCCAGTGCTGCAAGAGGCCAGGGAGAGGCTCCTGAGCAGGGACCTGAGGGCAGTTCCTGCAGACGGTCAGCGAGCAACTGAGGCCCTCGGTCCCGCAGCTACAGAGAACTGAACTGAGTGGCGCCAACAAGCACTTGAGCTGGGCAGCGGGTCCTTCCCCAGGCAGGCTTTCGAATGAGACCGAAGCCTGGAAGCACGCTGATTCCAGCCTGGTACGACCCTGAGCAGAGGATCCAGATAAGCCCTGCCTGGTCTCCTGAACCACAGAAACTGGGAGGTGATAAATGCGTGTAGTGTCAAGTTGCTGAGCTTGCCGTCATTTGTTACGTAGCTGTAGCTGACTATATACACCTTGCTATGGAGTAAGACAGGGTTACTATTCCTCACATGGTGAGAATGAACAGGTTCATAGTTGCTTTCTGATAAATCATATCACGCCCTCCCGAAAACACAGGCACTTACGGTCACATGCATGCTGTTACATCACAAATACCCCGACCTGTAAACAACTACACTACCCACCCCTATGTTATTATATACACAGACTGTCACACGTGCATACCACCCCAGTGTCAGACACAAACACGGGCACATACACGGACACATGTGTAGACACATTGGCCCCTACACAGCAATTTGCACAAATACACCATCCAATGGTCACTCCCCCCGCCCCAGGCCTACAGGTCACCTTCATTGTCAGACACAGCCCCACAGGGTCTCATGACTATCGAGTTATCTAGACACATACACCAAAACACTCAGAATCTCATGGTTGCAGTCACCCCGACTCCAGGATACACGCCTTCCTGGGGTTCCCTTCTCTGGGGTGCAGGTGGTGGCAGAAGGTAGGCTTGGCAGGGTTCTACCTTAAGCCCTCTCAGATCCTGCTCATGGTGAGACAAGTCACCTGCCACTGGATGGGGCCCCAGGCATTCCACCCAGAACCCCAGGCCCCCGCTTGGGGCTCACTGGTGACACGCTGTGCCAATCCCTGTCTGTGGGCCGTGTCCAGAAAGGCCCCCCCTTCACACCAGGCAGTCCCCAAGTTGTTCTGTGGCCGCCGGCCAGTCCTGGGCCTACCCTGCCTGCACCCAGGCCCAGGCTGTGAGAAGGGTGGGGCTCCGGGCGGGGAGGCGCAGCTGCAGGCCCTGTGGTTATTGCCTGGTGGCCTGAGGCCCATCCTGCAAGCCACTCCCCTCAAACTGTGGGGACAGAGGTGAGAGGGGTGGTCTGGGACCCAGGGTAGAGAGCACAGGCCAGAGGTCATGAGGAATGGAGGTGTGGAGTGGGAGGGGGTGTATGTTAAACACCAAATAGGAGAAAACAAAATCTGAGGTCCAAGTGCATTTCAACTTCTCCCTTCCTGGCAAAGTCACAGTGATCTAATGGGTGGGGGCAGCAAAGGTCTGGCTGGGGGCAGGCAAGGGAAAGGAAAAGACATGGAGGTCCTGGGCGAAAGGGAGCCCGAGAGAGATTGGAAAACCCACTGTCCTCGATCCCACAGGGACAGGCAGCTTTCCCATTTTCCCATGTGCAGATCGAGGGGGTCACTTCTAGCACTTGGCTTTGGGAGTACAGACAGGCGGGTCGGGGAGAGAGATGGGGCGGAAGGCAGAGGGCTGCGAGAGAGCTGGCTTGGAGCCCCAGACCTGCAGGGCTCACCAGGGCCTCGGTGTCCCCATCGGGATGTTGAATGACGGCAGAGACGTGGAGGTGATGAAAGAGGGGTAGAGAGAGAAGTGGCGGGGGGTGGGGGGGAGAAGGGGAGAGGAGGAGAAGGCAGTGGCTGCAGGGTGGTGTGGGAGAGGCATGGGGCCAGAACAGGGGCCAGGACAGAGGCTGGCTGCAGGCGGGCGTCCCAGGCTCACATGAGGATGCATTTGCCCTTGATGCGGTCTGTCCTCTTCTGTTTGCTGGAGCGCTTGCCATCGATGTTGAGGCTCATGTTCCGGCGTGTCTCCAGCGTGAGCAGCTCCTGGAAGAGCTCCTTGACATTGTAGTTCATCTTGGCCGATGTCTCCATGAAGGCGCACTTCCACTCCTGGGCCACAGCCTGGGCCTCGCGGGTGTCCACCTCCCGCTGCGTCTCATCACATTTGTTGCCCACCAGCATGACTGGAATGTCCTCCACACTGCCCTTGATCTGCACAATGAGCTGGTAGATGGGACCCAGCTCCTCCAGCGACTGCTTGCTGGTGACTGAGAAGACCAAGATGAAGGCATGGCCCTTGGAGATGGATAGCCGCTGCATGGCTGGAAACTGGTGGCTGCCTGTGGTGTCAGTGATCTGCAGTGTGCACACGCTCTTGTCACAGCTGATCACCTGCCGGTAGGTGTCCTCAATAGTGGGAATGTAGGTGTCTCGAAATGTGCCCTTCACGAAGCGCAGCACCAGCGAGCTCTTGCCCACACCACCGGCACCAAACACCACCACCCGGTAGTCATTACTCTGCTCAGGCATCTTCCACACCAGGGGTGGGGGGCAGAGCTGGGAGGGCTTGTGCCAGCTGCTAGGACCCCAGGCCGACCCTGTACAGAGAGGAGTGTCAGATTCAAAAGGCCACCCGGCCAAGAGGTAACAGCCCAGGAGGGGTGGCTTCTCACAGGAGGTGGCATTTCTCCTGTGTCCTGGGAAGGCCTTCTGGTGGATTTGGCTGACTGTGCAATTCTGCCCTGCATGCAGGCTCAGAGCCAGACCCCTTTGCTGGTTTTCGTTCCCACAAAATCTGGGGCCTAAGCTCCTTCCCAGAGGACTCCAAGCTGGAAGAGACGTGAAGGTGACTCTTTCCTCCACATGCACGCTCCCCAAGCCACCGCCCCACCCCCCCAGGCTGCACGGGCTTTTCCCTCTCTCCCCAGCTTGGCTGTGGGCTCCAGCAGGCCTGGCTCTATGACCTGGACAAGATGCTCAGCCTCAGTTTCCTCCTCTGCAAAGTAAGTGACATGATGCCTCTCTCCAAAAATTACAGGTTCCCCTTAGCCCAGAGGCTCCTTAACCTTGTGGGAGACCCGTAATGGGGCATCTTTAAAATGCAGCTGGCAGGGCTTCAGCCCTGAGAATGATTAATTAGTGGCCTTGGGCACCACATTTTGGAGCCACTCTTGTGCCCTCATCCCATAAGCTTGATCCTAATGCTGGAGGCTCCAGAACCTCCATGTGCAAATCATGACACCGATTTCCCATAGCAGCCCTGAGAGGCAGGGATGCACAGCCCAGATTGGAGATGAGAAAGTTAAAACGGAGGCCAAAGAGAAAAATACCTACTCTCTAAACCCTGCACCCAGACCATGGTCTGCCCTCCCTGGCCTCCTGCTCAGGTCCAATACATCTGTGTACACAGGCACAGAGCTCCCCAGGAGGGGGTCCTCTTATCATCTCTCCCTTTCCTGAGCTCAGAGAGGTCCAGCGGCCTCGGGAGTTCACACAGCATAGCAATTCCTGCAATGACAGAGGTGGAGAAGGAGCCAAGGGCTCGGGGTGGGAGCCAGGGGTCCTTATTTATAGAGAGCAGGAAAGACCCCATCCCTTCCTCCTTTCCAGCTGTCTCTAAGCATGGGTGTTGGACCACAGAGAGAGAAGAGACACAATAGGATCACTACTCAGCTAAGTCACTTCACTTAAGTGCGTGAGTGTGTGTGTGTGTGTGTGTGTGTGTGTGTGTGTGTGTTTAAGACCCAACAGTGTGAGCCTGACTGGTGTCCTTGAGCCTCAGTTTTCTCTGTGAAACTCAAGCAGTTGTAGTACCCACTCCCGGAAGTTGAGTGTGATAAGCTGGAGAAAGTCCTTAGGAAGGGCTTGGCACAAGGGTGCCTCTATAAGGATGGACAATCAGGATTATTGATCACGGGGGCTCAGAGTGTACAGCACTTGGCCTGGGAAGGCATGTTCTGAATGACGAAAGGTATCAGGTTTATCAGAAAAATATATACAATAAAAGTAACAGCCAGCATATACTCCACAAATTAAGTGCCAGCCAAACTTCCAGGAGCTCTACTAGCAGTAACTCCTGATTGACCACTAGGCATGTTGGTGACATGGTGACATGCATGTCAGTTGTCCGCATGCGAGGACGCTGGGTGGGCGGCTGGCGACATGTGCCAACCAGCTCTGCAGTCACTGCTCTTTCTGGGCAGGTGCCCTGAGGAACAGGCACACGGTGTGCAGTCAGGCACAGCCACAACTGGCGTGGGGACCCAAGGTGGCCAGTGACCATCAGTTCTGCTGTCCCAGGCCAAGCTCTCGCTTTGTTCTGGGTACGGACCCCCTGGCAGAGCTCCAGGCCAGTCAAGGGTGTCTTCCAAGAGGGACCTGGGATCCCTAACTAGGAGCCCCATTCAGTTGCCCCAGCCCATGCCAGGCACCCAGCTCATGCTTTTTGAAAACCACCCTCACCTCCTGAAGGGGAGGGGTCTGGGGAAAGGATCTTGATCACTGAAGGCGGGGCACTGGCTAAAGGTCACAGAGCAGGGAGGTGGCAGAGCAGGGCAGGATTTGAACCAGCCTTGGTTGGCTTCACAGGCAGGGGTCCTCCCCCTGTGCAAAGCGGCCCACCCTGAGACTCCCCTGTAGGGCACCAGCCGAGCCCTAGGTCCCCAGAGCCCAACTGGGGAAGTTGCAGTGACCTCAGGTGCAAGAAAGCAGGCTGGACCCAGGGGAGGGCCTGGGGGGGGATGCTTGCCCAAATTGGGTGGGGGGAGGCCATGTTTGACCAGAACTAAGGAGGGGCTTGATGAGAGCGGGCCTGGTCTAGGGGGCTGAGAGAGGAGACACACACTCAGGGGAGCAAGCCCAGGTGCTCTCCTTGGCCAACGGAGGATCTAAGTAGTAGGGGAGGGGGCCCCACCAGCGTGGGTCTCCTGAATGACGGAGGGCTTGGTGGAGAGGGCGGGAGGGCTGAGCCGGTAGCGGTGGGTGAGAAAGGCCCAGGGCCCCAGCGGCTCCCCGTGGAGGGGTCCTGGCTGAGCAGGACGACCAACCCAGACAGCGGGGCTTAGAGGGGCTGGAAAAGGGCTGGCCTGGCCGCAAGAGCGCCCTGAGGGGAGCGTGGGGGAGGGGAGGACGAAGAGCGGGAGCTGTCCAAGGTGGGACCGGAGGGCAGCCGGGACAGGGACTCGGGAGGGGCTCCGGAGCAGGGTCCGGCGGAGGAGGGCCTGGCCCCTCACTCTGGCCAGGAGGGTGGGGCTCGGACAAAGGAGAGGCGCGCAGGGAAGGGCCCCGCGGGCCGGGCTAGTGGGATGCAGCAGGCCCGCGCCCCGGCCCCCGCCCCAGTCGCCTACCTGGGCGCTCGTCCGTGCGGCGCCGCCGCGGCTGCTGCTGGCCGGCTCCGTGTCCGCTCCGGCGCCGCCGCCCCCCGCGCTCCCGCCGCCGCCGCCGCCGCCGCCGCCCGCCCGAGCCGCCGCCGTGCCCGCGCCGTCCCCGCCCGCCCGCTGGGCGCCGCGCTCCGCCCCTCCCCGGGGACCCGCGCCCCCGGCCAAGGTCACCGCCGCCCCGAGCCCCGCCGCCCGCGCGCGCAGCCCCACCCAGATCCCCACCCCGCCCCCCTAGCATTGGACCCTCACCCTGCGTCCCTAGCCCTGGACCCCAGCCCAGGGCCCCCGCCCAGCCCCGCGAGCGTACAGCCCCGCCCGGACTCCCGCCCGCGCACGGGGGCCGGTCCCCGGAGAGGTAGCTAGGACGAAGGGGCGCAAATGGAGTAGGGTCTGCTTTTTCCAGAGCCCCAAGCGGCAGCTGGCCTGCTCAGGGTTACCCCGAAAACCAGGTGATGGGCAAGAAGGAGGAAGAATCGAAGTCACCCCAGGGACAAAGGGACGAGGCCTTTCGCAGAACTGCAGATAAGGGGGCTGGGGTAGCAGAATAGGACATCTTGGCGGGGGGGCGGGAGGGGCTCGGATCGTGGTCCAGCTCAGGAACCCGCTCCAGAGGAGGTACGTTAGTGGAATAATCAACCAATAAATGCGATATAATTTTATTAACCAATGTCATCCCAATACATTCAATAAAAATTAAAAAGAAAACCAATAAATAGATGCGTAAGGGAGGCAGAGAGAGTCCCAGAGGGCTTGGGGCAGTGAGGATGTACGTGGAGACCACTCCCCTGTCCCAGGGGTTTGTGAGCTGGAGAGACAGAAAGGAAGTGAAGAGGGCCTCCATCTGGATTGGTGCCCCTAAGGGCAGCCCATGGGTGGGCGGGGTTTGGCAGGTGGGCTCTTGGTGAGTCTGGGGGGTTCCATTTGAAGGTGGGGGTGAACAAGGGAGGTTAGACAGGAATGAGTTTTTGGTTTTCTGGTATGAAAATATAGGTCTTCTTCAAATAGATAACTCTGAGAATAAATGTTCACCTTTGGAAAGTGCCTGTGCGTTTGACATGTCTGTGTCCACGTTTAAGTTCACAGGATGCCCATCTCCCACTCCCTCCTGAAGACCAGAGAGCAGAGGCTCATCTCAGAGGAGACTGGACTTTGGGGTGCAACAACCGGCCAGCGGTGGGTGTGAGACAGCTTCAGAGCCCAAGCCTGTGAAAGGGAGGCACCCCTTGATGGGGAAGCTGACACTAGGGTCCCGCAAGGAGGGGCTTTCTGGGGTCAGAGCAGTTGGAAGGTGAAAGAGGCTCTTTGGGAGGTGGTGCGGTCCTCCACGTGAGGTATGTGAGCAGATGGGCAGCTGGAGTCCCAGGGCCCTTCTGGCTCTTGGTTCCTTGACTTTTGCTGACCCACTATTTCTGTGGCTCTGGCTGAGGCTGACTTTTCTGGGCTTGAAGGGCCTCTTTTCTCCCTGACTCAGCCCCTCCACTGCATCTCCAGGCCTCTCCTGCCAGGACAGTCTCACTGCCTCCTTCCTAGCCTCGCCTCCCAGCCCTCCATGTCTGCCCTCTTCCATTCTGGCATTCAACCCCCAGCCTTGAACATGGGCCTCCCCTGCTCTGAGGCCGCTCGTATCCCTTTTTGTCTGAGGGTCAAGGTCCAGCTTCTCAGCCTGTTGTTCAAGTCCCTTCACAACTAGTGAGCTCATGATTTCCCAACCTCCCCTTGCACATCTCCCTCCTGCCCTGTCCTCGGCCCTGTGAGGTGCCTTAGAGGGTGGCCCCCACCCTTCATCTTGGGGTGCTGTCAACCAGACGTGGAGGCAGTGTGGTGGGCAGACAGTCACTGCCTGAGCCTTAGTTTCCCCATTGTGAATGAGGATCACTGTTGTCTGCCCTCTCAGGGCTGCTGGGAGCAATTGGGATGACGGCCACCTACATGGGGCTGCTGGGTACACAGAGGCTGAGACAACAGCCCAACTTCCTACTACTCTGCCTGCCTGCCTGCCTTTGTCTCCTGCATGACCCACTGGTGCCGGGCCAGGCCTCTAGCCGATTTCTGGCTCCTCCAGACGCCAGCCCAGGCCGGGACAGGCTGACTCATACAGAGGATCGTGGGCACAACAGCAGTGCCATTCTGCAGTTGCTATTTATAGGTCTCAGGCCAGGCTCTCAGCCTCTGGAGCCAGGGGAAGACAGGCCCCAGAGTCCTCTCCTCATTCTCCCTGGGGCACAGGGGCCCAGCTCTCCACCCCAGCACCCCAACCTAGGGCAGTGGTATCTCCTTCCCCATGGCCAGCCTGGATAGCTCTGGCTTTCATGAGTGTAGAGATGTGTGTGGGGGAGCCATCAGCTGTGACCCCTCTGGAAACCGAGGTGCAGAGAAGGGAATCGGTCCACCAGAGGTGGCTCAGCTGGGAAAAGGCTGGGCTGTGACTGGCACTCCGCTGGGCTTTGAAGCTACAACCCAGCCTTCTGGCCCAGGGTCCTGCACCTGGCCTTCAGCTGTCCCTGTCCTGCAGAAGTCCTCTCAGTTGCAAAGGACAGCCACTCACCTGCACAGTCCCAGCTCACCTGGCCTTGCATCCCATGGGACTTCTCCTTGTCCCAATGTTCCAGGCTGGGGCCACACTGCCTCATTTATCCCCCTGCCCTGCTCCCATCCCAGCACAGCTGCCTGGTGAAAGGTAGGCAGCTGGGTCAAATTCTCTGCTCTCTGTGCTCCCCGGATTAATGAAATTATGCAGGCAAAGCAGAGGCTGAGCCCCATAATGGCCTCTCACTGATGCAGCTTGGTCCACCAAGGTGTTTCATTTGTTAAGTTTGGTGTCAACACTTTAAAAATAAGATCATTTGCCAAAACCCGATTTGCATGGAAAAATGAATGGGCTGGCATCCATGAGTCTAAATTCCCCTGGTCAGCATCTGCAGGAGCTGGCCCCCGCCCCAGGGTGGAAGATGCCAGGTCCTGACTGAAGCCACCCGCCTGGCCCCTGGAAGAGTCCTGAGTGACTTACTGCTCTGTATATGAGCTGTGCTGTGATCATCGTCTTCAAGGAGTGGGGTTACTGAAGGCTTCACCAGGGGCAGGACGAATACCTTCAACTCTTGGGTCTTTTTACTGAGAGCCAGGGCTGCTTTAGTCAATCAGAAAAAAGAACTGTGACCTGCAGAAAGACCTCAGGGTCTTTGCACGGGCTGCTTCCTCTGGTGGAAAAGGTTTTCCCCCATCTTGTGACTCACACTCAGCCCTCACAGATTTCCTCCCTGACCAAGCTGCTAAAGCTGTCCCTGCTAAAATTGTCCCCACCTCCTCCTACTTTGCTTTTTGTCCTTGGGGCTCTTTTTGCTCCCTGATATTGATATGATATGTCTCCCTCCCTAGAATGTGAGCTGCCTTCTGTGGATCATTTCCACAGATTCCAGGGCGATCCTGTCCCCAGGAGACAATGGGTGGTCTGGGGACATCTGTGATTGCCACATGAGGGGTGATACCTTGTGCTCCTGGCACAAGGTTTGTGGCCAGGGATGCTGCTCAACATCTGTGTTCAAATAGCCCCCCACAGAGAATGACTTGGCACCCCAGTGCCCACGGGGGAGACCCTGCTCTGGGTCCAGCTTGTTGGGCCAGAGTTGCTGGACCTGTCAGCCAGCCCCTCAAGGGAGAGGGCCTTTCATCCACGGTGGCTATGTACTCTCCTCAAAAAACAGCTCCTAAGGTGTGCCCCCATGCACCCCCCAAAATCAGGGGCTCTGAACTACTCACCTTCCCAGCCCCATTCTCTCCTGCCAGTCTGGGTATGCAGTGATCACTTTAGCCCAAGGCCAGAACACCAAGGCCTCCCACGTAGGCTGTTTTTGCTCAGGGAGCTGTGGAAACCTGAGGGTGATAGGGACAGAGTGGGTATCCCTGCTCACGCCCAATTTGGCCTCAGTACCCTGACAGCCCAGAGAAGGGTTCTAGGGTCTTCACAGAACCACTCACATACCCTGCAGCAGCCCCCCTCCGCTCTCAGGAGCCCAAACCCCTCCCTGCCTGCAGGCAGCTCTGGGAAGATCAGATGGGTTGGTCACTGGCTCTGTTCTCAAGTTGGCAGGCAGCTCAGGGAGGGCATGGGCTGGAACAGATAGAGGGCACACCCCTCTTAGGGGGGCTGAGGATCCACAGTGGTGGCCAGGGCATGTCTGGTGTGTGCTGGGAGGCATCATCTAGTTCATTGCCTGCTTTTTGGGCTCTGAAGATGCAAACAGGCCCATAAATTGGTGCTCTCCCTTCCCCACCCCACGATAACAACTTCTCCACAAGAAACGCAAACAGCAAACAACAGAAGCCCCAACACACTGTTATTATGGTTGATTCAATCCATGAGGTCTGGATGCCGCCTTCTAATTTTCTTCCCTTTTGTCTCCAGATCAAGCAGAGGAACCAGGTCGACTCAATCCAGCTGCCGCCTGTGCTGTGACCCCCTGTTTGGGGCAGACAGCAGAGGGCACTGAGCCCCGCTGGTTCACTCTTGGGGGTGTGTCAGGTGCTGAGCAGCATGCCTGGCCCCCCTGCTCAATGCCAGGAGCACCTCATGTTGTGACAACCAATGTCCCCAGACATTATCGAGTGTCCCCTGGAGGCAGAATCACCTGGATTGAGAATGAGTTCACTAAAACCCCCAAGAGGGAGGACTATCTGTGTCCACAGGCCATGTGGCATCTCTTTGATACCAAGTTTATAGAGATGGAGAAACCTTTTGTGGCCGATGTCCTGTTTTGTGGTGAGTGCTGATTCAGGGCCTCAGGTGGTAATTGACCTACAGTCTTATTCAAGCAAAGCTCCTCTGATCATATGGCAGTGCTCCCTTGTCGAAGCTGGTGGGGGGTGGAGCCACTGAGCTGGCCTTAGAAGACCCTGGATTTGGCCATTGGCAGATGGACCTCATTGAGTGTTGCTTCTTTTGCCTCCGCCAGGTGGGCCAACCACTCTTCTTACACCACCGTGGAGATGTTCAGTTTCCTGGCCAAAGTGGGGAAAGCTGACCCAAATCAGCCAAGACAGACACATCACTCCCGTGGCTGGCCAACCCACGGTGGCTCCTGGAAGCAGATCCCAGGGCTGACCCTGCACCTTTGACCGTTGTAGGCAGGAGGGACAGCCGGTGCCCCTTTGGGGGCTGGTGGGACAGCCCTTGTACTTTCCTGCAACCCCACCAGCCCAAACCTCTCAGAGGCTCAGTGTCACCATGGGGCCTAGAAGCAGATTTCCTGGGGCTGATGGGACCTTAGGGAGAGGGGCAGCTGGGAGCAGCTGCAACCCAGTAAACAAAGGCAGGACAGGCACAGGCACACTGAGGAGCTGAGAATGACAGGACCCAGGGTAGTGATGCCCCAACAGAAGGGCAGACGAAGGGGACACTTGGGTCTTTCCTTCCTCACTGGAAGGGCCATGCCCTTCCTGGACCTGCTAGTCTAGAAGCCAGCTCAGAGTGAGGGGAGAACAACATGACCTCGAAGGCTCTCTTTGGGGACAGAAGACGGGGACATGGGGACTGGAGGGGCTGTGGTATCACCAGGATCACCTCAGGGAGCAATTGGCTGGTGTGGAGGCAGCTGTGTGAGCCTTCGGTGGTGGGGGTAAGGGGTATGCAGCTGGGGATCCCTGGAGCAGACTGCTCTGCCCCTATGTGGGGTCCCTGCTGTATTCAGGGGAATGGGGGCCCCTGAGCCTTCCTGTATGGGAGGCCCTGGTGCCTCTATCTGGTCCCCTGCACAGTTCCGTCCCCCCACCTAAAGGCAGGCTCAAGTCTGGTCGCTTCATGGTGACCTGCCCACCTGGAACCTTCTAGTTCCTGGGTGAAGTGGGGGCAGGTGGAGGCCACAGGAGTGGGTTTAGGACACTGCAAAGAGGATGACCTTCCCACACCCATGGGGTTGGGGTCATTTTCCTGGCTTGGGGTCAGGGCCAGGCCATGCAGGGTCAGCAAATGGGTCCCCAGTGAAAATTTTAGAAGTTCCTAGAAATGGCCAATACTTCTGACAGCACCAGTGAGAGCCAACAGAGTAAAAGTGGGGAATTTCAAACATACATCCCTGCTCCCCCAGACTCTCGCAACAGAGGGGGCCGGGGCCATGGGAGAGGAGGTGTCCTCTTGTACCTCGATGCCCAGGGGGGTAAGCAGGCAACAGCAGATCAGCCCCTGGGGTGCCCACTCTTGGAGAATCAACTAGCTGCTCCTGGAGCTCCCAACGTGGCCAGAGTGACAACCAGAGGCCCCATGAGCCCAGGGCCATGGGGAGGGACCTGTCCTTGTCAGGGAGCTTAAATGGCCCCATTGCCGTTCCTCCTGGCACTGGTTGGGCACAGGAAGGAAATTCAAGATTTCAGAAAGGCGCACACCTGGGCCCTGGGCCTCCCAGCCAAGTCAGGAGGCAGGAATGGGCCCTTAGCAGCCAAGGACAAAGCTGGGAGAAGCTGAAGCCAGGCAGTACGCAGCCCAGATCACTGGGCCCAAGCACCCTCCAGCCATACCTCCAAATGAGGCCAAGCAAATCCCCCAAGAAATGCTCAGCCCACTCCTACTCCCCAGGCACACTCCAGGTTACCGGGACAACAATGGAAGCTAATGAGAGGTTGCCCCGGCGCCCAGTTTATACCAGCCACTCTGTTAGTCTCTGCCCTCCTGCACTACCTGGGACTGGCTTCCTTCATGTGTCTAGTGGGGCGAATTGAGTCTTGTGGCCCCTACCTGACAACCTGAAGGGTCTCTCTTGCCCCAGAGACCCTGGCCATACACGGGGCTATGAACCAATGGCAAAGCTGCCTCCTGGCCCCTCTTGCACATCTCTCGGCACATGGGTCTGTTCCCTCAGGAAACCCACATGCTCACGCCGGCCCAGCACCAACCCCCAGGAGGGCAACCTCCCCACAGGTGGGTCAGCACCAGAAGGCAGAGAGGGTGGTCCTGCGCACCCAGGACCCTGCCCATCCCCATGTAGGCAAGGCTTCAGGTGGCAGGGATCACAGAGATGTCCCATCTAACTGCAGAATGGACTCTCCATGCTGGTGGCCTCCTCTGTTAGCGACAGAGCCAGTTGGGGGCAGAAGACAGAGGCCTCAGAGCCTCCCTCCTCTCCTGGTCTTCATTTGTGTGGGGAAGGGGAGGCTCTTGCCCTGACCCCATGTGGATGCCCAGCCCTGACTCCCATATGAGTTGCCAGATCCCCATGCCCAGGTTGACATGGTCACACAGTTTTGGTAAATACCTTTAAGTGAAGTATTTTACAAATAGTAGTGTCACCCTGAGGCTTGGGGTGTAGAATCTAGGGTCCAGTTTGGTTCTGGGTGGTCCCTCTGTGCACAGGCAGTAGCTGAGGGCCTGAGCTCCCCGCTGGGGGAAACGGCCTATGTCCAGCCTGGGGCTCCCACAGGGCGGGGTGACTACGATGAGTAACAATGGCAACGGGAAGTTCACCACTTGAGAAAGACCATGCCGGCCAGCACGGTGTAGCCTAGCACCAGGAAGAGGACTTTGAGCAGGCGGTCATTCTTCTCCTCCAGTTCCTTCCCCAGGATCTCAAAGAAGGTGACAAAGAGAAAGGTGCCACCCACCAGGCCCTGCAACAGCACTGAAGCCACGCTGCTGGAAACGCCCTGCACACTCTCGATGCCCAGGCCAACACTGATGCCCAGAGGGATCATGGCGCTCACGGTGACAGCCAGCTTGGCCGCTTCCCTCAGGGGCATGGAGCTCCGGGCCATGTTGATGCCCAGGGCCACAGCCACCAGTGTCTCATGGATGGCCACACCCACGAACAAGCTCACCACCTTCTCCCCCTCCTCCTGTAGGCCCAAGGCCAGGCCTTCAAAGATGGAGTGGGCCGACAGAGCAAAGACCAGGCTGAGGAGGCGCAGGGGACTGGAGCGTGACAGCTCCTGGACACTCAGCCCGTGGCTGTGGGTGTGAGGCTCCATGTAGAGTGCGTGGCCCCGTGCAGCCCCCATGAAGGGGCTCTCATACTCTGAGTCACTGCCAGCATCTGAGCCGGCATTGAAGGTCTCCATGTCGATGAAGGAAGGCTTCTCCTTGCGGAAGGTCAGGATAAGCTGCTCCAGAAAGATGGTCATGAAGAAGCCTAGCATCACAATGGTCTCCGCCAGTGGGTAGTCAGTGTTGATGTGCCCGAGACTCAGAACTTTCTGGAGCTGCAGTGGAGGACATGGGAGAGGGAGGGAGGAGAGAGTCAACAGGGGTTTAAGAGGCAGGGACCCAACACAAACAGGGTTCGTCTGACCTCACTGTTCAATGAGCAAAGCACAGAAATGCCCAATTCATATAAGTTAGGAAAAAAGGGAGGGGATGGTAGGTTCATCCTTCACAAATTAAACAAAAACGGTATAATAAAAGGGAGTCATAGTCCTCACCAAAGTGGACTGGATTGTGACCTCCAAAGACATGTCCACCTGGAACCTCAAAACATGGCTTTATTGGGAAGAAGGATCTGTGTTGATATAGTATTAAGGGCCACCCTGGCTGGTGTGGCTCAATGGACTGAGTGCCGGCCTGCAAACCAGAGGGTCACCAGTCCTGGTCAGAGCACATGCTTGGGTTGTGGCCCAGGTCCCCAGCTGGGTGCGCATGAGAGGCAACCACACATTGATGTTTCTCTCCCTCTCTTTCTCTCTCCCTTCCCCTCTCTCTAAAAATAAATAAATAAAATCTTTAAAAGAAAGTAAACTATTAAGGGCTGAATTTTGTCCTCCTAAAATAAAAATTCATATATTCAAGTCCCTGAGGCCCCAGTACCTCAAAACTAATTAGAAGAGAGGGTCCTTAAAATGTTGATTCAGTTAAAAAGAGGCCGTCACGGCGGGCCCTACTCCAACAGGACTGGTGGAAAGGCAGAAAAAGGAAGGTCTGAGAAGGACCCAGCTCTGTCAGCACCTTGACTTTGGACTTCCAGCCTCTAGCACTGGCAGGGAATAAATGTTGTGTAGGTCACCCAGTTTGTGGTATTTTGTTTTGGCCCCCTCCTGAAACTCACGCATAAGATAAGGCTCTTGAGATGAGATCATCCTGGGCCTTTAATCAAATGACAGGTGTCCTTATGAGACAGAGGAGACACAGACAGACACACAGGCAGATGACCGTGTGACGACAGAGCCAGAGATTGGGTGACACGCCTATAAGCCAAGCATTGCTTGACGCCACCAGAAGCTGGTAGAAAGTGTGGAACAGATTCTCCCTCACAGCCTCAGGACTCAGTCTTGCCGACACCCTGATCTAGGACTTCCAGCCTCTACCACTGTGATATCAACCAGCCTTTCCAGACCCGATGCCTACAAGGGTTTGCTTCCATATAACCCAGGTGGGGCTCTGTCCTCCTGGGTAAATGCCTGCCAGCACAGTCAGCTACCCATCATATCCCTTGAGTTTGGTGCCATTCAAAAGAATGTTCTAGATAATAGACACATTTTCTCTCTGGTATGGGAGCCACTAGCCACATATGAGGACTTGAAACATGGCTGGTGTGGCTGAGAATGGGCATGTTGGTTGAATTGTACGTCATTTTAATTCACTGAAACTTGACTAGCCAGGCATGGCAAGCAGCTGCCACACTGGTCAGTGAGGCTTTGGACACTGTCCAGAAAGGTGTGCAGTAGGCTCCTCAGAGGCTGGGTTAATTTTCCCTGGACTCATAAGGATGTTTGCACACACTGAGTCTTTCCAGCTTTGGGACTCTGCCTCTGTCTAAAATGTTCCTCCTTCAGTTTTACTCACAGCTGATAGATGCTCATGCTTTAGATTTTGGTTTACATATAATTTTCAAGTACTCATCCTACACTAAGTGCCCCAATCATTTCTTTCCCATAGCAACCTTCGTTACAACCTGTGAATGCATGCGCACCTATACGTGCACACACACCGAGTTCACAACTGGGGCGATCCTGCCCTCAGGGGACAGGTGCAATGTCTGGAGACATTTTGGTTGTCATGACTTGTTGGGGAAGGTGCTGACATTAGAGTAGCTTCATTCTCTGTGGGGGGCCATCCTGGGCACTGTGGGGTGTTAAGCAACATCCTTGACACCTACTCACTTGATGTCAGGAACACCTCTAGTCATGATGACAACCACAGATGTCCCCAGACATGGCCTATTATCCCCTGGGGGCAGAATCACCCTTGCTGCAGCAGAAAGCTGTACTTCTATAAAGCCCTTTCATTCATTTGTTAAATGTCTCATGGAGGCCTGCGTGTGCCCCAGTGGGGGAAATGCAAGCTTATGACAAACACAAACTACTCCCAGAGGGATAATTATGGATTGGAAAAGACAAGGCCGACACACAAAGGCCATGGCTTGTGGCACTGGTCTCCATGGGTGCTGCTGGCTGAGGCTGGGTGAAGGCTGGGAGGGACTCGAGCTTCTGACGCGTGTGAAGACTGTGGGCAGGGGTGCAGCATGGGAGTGGCTTTGGAGGACCCTGAGAAGGCCATGTGCACTGAAGGAGCACAAGGAAGAACAAGGCCATTAAAGCAGGCTAGGCCTGAGGTAGGAGGGTGACAAGGGGTGACACCGTGGGAACCTGGTAAATGGGGGGTTTGAAAATGGCATTGGGGTGCAGAAGCCATCAGACAAGACTCTGATTTAACCTTATCGATGCTGTGAATGAATATCCTGTCCTGTATAACAAAGGAACATGAGCTTAGCAGTATAGTGCAATGCAAAAGCATTCTCTCACAGATACGAATGTGAGAAATCTGGCACAGGTTGCAGCTTGAGGATAAAGCAAGCAGCCATGTCGGGGAGGCCCATGGGGCAAGGGACTGAGGGCAGCTCCCAGCCAACAGCCAGGAAGAAACTAGGCCCTGACTCTGATAGCGAAGAGGGGACTGAACCCGCCTTACAACTACATGTGCTTAGCTGACCCATCCCCAATTGAATCTTGACATGATACCACAGTACGGTAGATACCTTAATTGCTGCCTCTTGAGAATCTGGAACAGAGGATCCAACCCCTGACCCACAGACACTGTGAGATAATAAATGTGTGTTGTCTCAAGATGCTAAGTTTATTGTCACTTGTTACGCAGCAGTAGCTGAGTAGCTGATTGATACAGGAGTTGAAGAAAGGCCACAACTCCCAGCATCAGGATGAAGTGTGCGCTACCAAGGGTAGGTGGTCTGGTCAGGAAACAACTAATGAGCTCACTGGTTGAGAACCCCAGATATAGTTTAAACCCCTTGTTTATCTAGGCCCAGAGAGGAGAAGCAACCAACTCATGGTCACACAGCAAATTTTCTACTTCCCATCACCTCTGTGGTGTCAAGGCACCCACCAAGTTTAGGCTTGGAATTGAAAAAGTGTCAGAGACCTTTGGCTGTAAGGTGCCAAGGGCTGCTGAGATCACCCATGGAGCCCTTACCTTTTCCCTCACGGCAGGCAGTAAAGCATTGAAGCAGGTGGCCAGAAAAACCCCACCTCCAAAGGTGTTGCAGAGTGAAAGGATCTTTTTTGAGCGGTGGGCCTTCTCAAAATCTGTCTCAATGATCTTCACAGGGAGCAGGGAACCCAGCAACATGAAGAAGAACACGCCCACCATGCAAAGAATTTTGACCACCAACAGCTTCACCATGGTGACGGCCTGGGCTGCTGTGGTCACCACAGGGCCAAACCATGTGTGGATGCACACTCCCGTCCCACGATGTACTACCGGGGGCTCATGTCTCAGTCCAGCCACTGTAAACACCAGAGACAATCACATCAGCTGTTGAATTATCTGACCAACTCTAGTGATCAAGCCCATTACTCCCCTGCCCCCACTCCCCCACCCCCCACTGTACTTCACCCCATTCTTGGCCTGGCACATATTCCTGCCTCCTGCAGAAAATTCTTCATGGCTGCGATGTCCACGATAGCAGTCACTAGCCAAATGTGTCTGTTTACATTAATTAAAATGAAAGAAAATGTAAAATCAGCCCCTGAGTTGAACTACCTGTATTTCAAGTGCTTGGAAGCCATGTGAGTCTAGTAGGCACTGTACTGGAGAGCACAGACAATGTTTCCATTGTTGCAGAATGTTCTATCAGGTGGTGGTATTCCACTGGCTCCCCACTGCTCTCACATAAAATCCAAATGCTTTACCCTGAGGCAAAGGCTCTGGGCCAACAGCTACCTCCTGCTGCACCTCACCTGACTCTGGCCTTTGTGGTCCCTAAATGTGCCAAGCCTGTTCCTGCCTTAGGGCTTTTGCATAGGTTGTTGTCTTGGCCTGGGACACTTCTTTCCCCAGCGTTCAATGACATCTTGTCTTTCAGGTCATTGCCTCCAGGAACCCTCAGAAGGGCCTCCCCTGGCTGACCTCTGCCCCAAACTGTATCCCTTGTACCTACCCAGAGGCCTGGCATATAACAGAGAGTCAGTAACCGCTGGCTGAACAAATGGATGTGCTGAAGCATGTGGACGTCTTTACATAACTCAATGAGCCAAAGTGGAGCAGTTTTCACCCTGGACCTGAAAATGTCACTGTTAGTATGAGGGATCTTGGCTACTACCCTGTTCTCACGTTTTCTCCCAATTTCCCAGTACCCACTACCTGAATCCCCACTTCAGTGAGTTCTTCAGGCCTCAGCTCAAATGCCACCAGTTGTAAGCCTCCCCCACCATCTCTGCCATTTTTCTGGCCTTATTCGTGCTAAGGAGAACTGCATAAAGTCCCTGCGTGTCCTCACTCGCTCTGGCCTGCAGGTACACAGTAGGCGCCCAATAAATACCTGCTGGGTGTCCTTATGCCCCAGTCTGTGGCGTGGGGGTAAGGTGGCCTTAACGCTATCAAACTCAGGACTGATAGGGCTAGACGGAGACGGGACGGGCTCATTCATTCATTTAGCACTTATAGAGCGCCTTCTGTGAGCCCTGCGCGGCACAAGACGCCCTGCAGAAAGCGAGGCTCACCTGGCCCCGCCCGAGAGGGGACAACTCGAGCTCAGCTGGGAGAATCGGAAGCAAATCACACACATCGCGCCGATAATAGTGAAACCAAGGGCGGACGCTTCGTCTGGGCCTAGACTAACGGGAGGTAGTGTCCGCAGGGCCCCGGTCCCGCCCCAGCCCCGGCCCATCCCCAGACCAAGAGTACCTCCGCCGGGGCCCTCGCTCACCCACCAGCGCCTTCTGCTGCTCAACGGCCGGGCTGTCTAGACTTCACAGCGTCGCTCCCGGCGGCGGCCCCCGTCGGCGCGCCGCAGCCACGTCCCGCCCACGTCCCTACCTATTGGTTCTCCCAAGCACCGCGGGCCTAAAGGGCCTCTCTATTGGCTTAAGTGGCTGCCACTCATCCTGCGATCCCACCTCTCCTACCGGCACGGAAAAGTAGTTTTCTCTCGCTAAAGCGTAAGTACAGCCACCGAGTGGTTCCGGCGGGAAACTCCAACCGTGGTACAACAGTTCCGACAGGGTTTGGCTTCCAGAGCTGTCCAGGGCCACCTGGTGCTGAATACCTCTCGGATTGAGGCTTGGCCATCGACTGGGAACGATTTCCTGCGTGAGACTGTCCCTCTCTGAGCGTCCTCGCTGCTGATGCCCTTCTCGTTGGCTTAAGAAGCAGATTTATCAGTTCAACATTTGTCCCTACTCTGCCAGGACCTTTTCTAGGAGAGCGTCTGTGAGCAAAACACAGATCTCTTCCCTTTTGGAACTTAGTCCAAGGAGAAGGCACAGAAGATAATGGATAAAGATAATAAATAATGGAATTATGTCAGAAAGTGACAGCACTCTGGAATAATAGATCCCAGTAAGGGTGGTGGGTTTCTATTTAAAATAAGATGCCCTAGCCCTGGCTGGTGTGGCTCAGTGGACTGAGCGCCACCCTGGGGAATGAAAGGTTACCGGTTCGATTCCAGGTCAAGGTATGTGCTTAGTTTGCGGGCTGGATCCCCAGTTGGGAGTGTGTGAGGGGGACAACTGACTAATGTGTCTTTTGCGCATTGATGTTTCTCTCCCTCTTTTTCTCCCTCCCCGCTCTCTGAAAATAAATAAACAAAATGTTTTTTAAAATAAAACAAGATGTCCTAATAGTCTTTATTGAGAAAGAGATATTTGAGGAAAAAAATTGAACATGGAGAAGTTAATCAAGTGGGTATATGGAGGCAAAGCATTACACACAGACGGAACTGGAGAGTATGGAGCCCAGCCGGCGGGAGTGTACAAGAATTCCAGAGAGGTGAGGAAGGTATATGGAGATGAAGAGAGGGCATTGAAAGGACTTTGAGGGAAACTGGGAGCCATTGCAGAGTTTTGATCAGAGATGTAACAGAGCTAAATGATTTTAACGGAATCATTTGGTTATTGTGTCAATGCTGCTGATAGGTCGTGAGATGAAAACTGCAAATTGACTGTCGATATTCTTTTAGATGGGGAGAGGGAACATTGGTGGGATAGCTTTCTTTACTTCTTTATAAAAGCAACCAGAATTATGAAGGAGAGAGAGGACTGTATTCATTTGTTAACTAAAATCTTATTGTCAGCCTACCATGAGCCAGTCAGGGGGAGAGATGCTAAGGATAATGTGGAGAATGCCACGACGTGGATGACACTTGAGAGCATTATGCTCAGTGAAATAAGCCAGACAAAGAAGGTCAAATATTGCATGATTTCACCCACAGAGGAGTCAGATACATAGAGACAGAAAGTAGATAGTGGATAACAGGGGTTGGGAGAGGGCAAGCAGAGTTAGTGTGTAATGGGGGCGGGGCTTCTGGATGGGAAGATGAGATGGTGGGAGTGGTTTCATGACATTGTAAATGTACTTGATGTCGCTGAGCTGTAGGCTTAAAATGGTTAACGTGGTCAATTTAATATTACCATTTCACCACAGTTAAAAAAAATTATTTGCACAGAATAGTTTCCTTCTTCACCACGCCCCTAACTGGAGGTTCTTATTGGCATTGAATTGGCACCAACAACCATCAGTTGATGATAGTAAAGGATTCAATATTATTTTATTGAAGTCCTGTTTCTATTACAAAAAATTATAAAAATGGAGTAAAAAAACAAAACCCATGCCATCACAGTTCAGTCTAGTGGGAAAGGTGAGTATTGATGAAATATTGATAATAACATATTGCAGTAGGCAAACTTCTAAGATGATTCCAAATGACCCCACATCTTTGTATTCATGCCCTGGTGTGATTCCCTCTCCTCGAGTGTGGGCTGCACCTGGTGACTTAGTTCTAACAGAATATGGCAAAATTATGGGATATCATGATTTCTGTTTTGCTAGCATGACTCTATTGTCTTTTCAGCTTGCATGCTTTGATGAAGCAAGCTGGCTTGTTGGAGAGGCCCACGTGGCAAGGAACTAAGAGTGACCTTCCACTAACAGTCAGCAAAGGACTGAGACCTTTTTTATAAAACACTGTAAGGAGATGAATCCTGCCAGCAACCCCATGAGTGATCTTGGAAGGGGATCCTGCCCTCATTAGGCCTTCGGAGAGCTGATGCCCAGCGGACACTTTGACTGCAGCCTTTGAGAGATCTTGAAGTTGAGCACTCAGCTAAGGAGACCTGGATTCCTAAACCACAGAAACTGTAAAATAATAAATGTTGTTGACGTGAGCCACTCAGTGTTGGGGTAATTTGTTATGAAGCAAAAGATAAATAATATACATATATTTTACATATCCACATATAATACACATATGGAAATAGTATAGGTTGTACTAAGTGCCACGAAGAAAAAAAGAGAAAGATGGTTCTGTGTGGGAATTAACCAAGTAGAGTGATAAGAAGTAGAGGATGCAGAGAGGATATTTGATGCAAAAGTAGAAGAGCTTGCAGTACTGGCTGGCTGAATGTTAATGAATCATGGAGCAATGAGAGATTAGGGACTGTCCTATAGACCATACCAAGGAATTTGGATCTTATCATAAATGCAATGTGATCCATTAAAGGGTTTTAAACAGGTGAGGGTTGTGATCCAATTTATATTTTAAGGTTATTCTGACTCCTTTGTAAAGAAAGACTGAATTTGGTGGGGAGGGGAGACGGGTGAAGGTGGAAGAGGGCATAAAGAGGATAAATGGTAATGGGAAAAATACAATAAAAAATAAAAAAACAATTCACTTTGTACAGCATGAGCACAATTTTGTTAAAACCATTTGTTATACACCCACATGCTGGAGGCATAGCTACTAAAATGATGAGAATTTTTATCTCTGAGGTGAAATAAAAACTTTTGCTTAAAAAAAAAAAAAAGACTTGCCCTGGCTGGTGTGGCTCAGTGGATTGAGCACTGGTCTACGAACCAAAAGGTCACAGGTTTGATTCCCAGTCAGGGCTCATGCCTGGCTTGCAGGTCAGGTCCCCAGTTGGGGGCATGGGAGAGGCAACCTATCGATGTACCTCTCACACATCGATGTTGCTCTCCCTCTCATTTTCCCTCCCTTTCCCTCTCTCTAAAAATAAAAAAAATTTTTTTTAAAGACTGAATTCAAAGGGAGCCAGAGTGGAAGCACTTGGGCAGGAATTGAAGCTAGTTTATTTTTTATTTTTTTAAGTTTTTTAAAATTTATTTTAGAGAGAAAGAAAAAGGAAACATTGATTTGTTGTTCCATGTATTTATGCATTCATTGGTTGTTTTTTGTATGTGCTCTGACCGGGGATCAAACCTACAACCTTAGTGTATTGTGATAACTCTCCAGCCAACTGAGCTACGCTGCCAGGGCCTGGAAGCTAGTTTAGATGAAGGCATTTGCAGGGGTGATAGAGGGTGGTGGATGAATTTGAGAAATATCTTGGAGGGTGAATCGATAGGACTTGGCACTGATTTCCCTGGGTGGGTTGTGGGGGGGAGGTGTCAGAGATGGCTGCTGGCATTCACTAAAATAGGAAAGACTGGAGGAGGAGCAGAGACTGGAGGTGTCAAAAGACTGAGTTTGATTTTGCAGAGGTAAAGTATGAGACGTCTGTGAGTTTTTAATATTGAAATGCCACTTTCTGTATGCTTTATGATAAGCACATGATAGGTGGTAGCTATTTTTATCATTAGACACAGAGTGCCTTGACTTTTCAAAAATTTTAAAAATCGACTTTAGAGAGAGAAAGGGGGAGAGAGAGATTGATTCGTTGCTCCACTTATTTATGCATCATTGGTTATTTCTTGTATGTGCCCTGACCAGAGATCGAACCAGCAACCTTGGCATAAGGGGATGGTGCTCTAACTAACTGAGCTACCCAACCAGGGCTGCCTTGGTGTTTGTTTTTTTTTTTCCTGGTCTTCATCATTCATGACAACAAAAAAGATCACTTGTATTAATAGCACGCCAGGTAAATTCCCACAGGATGACTCCTTCCTATACAAGAATTCAGGGTATGCAATATTTATTCATGATTGGTTAGGGAACAAAGCTGCTCAGAAGAGGAGCCACATAAGGTCTGGGGTTTTATTTAAGACACATTTTTGAAAGAGTCGTAGGCTCCAAAATTTTTGTATGGGCAGGTATGAAAGAAAAAAATACCAGCAAATTTGACTCTGTTGAATATTTCAAAATCTTTCATAGTGAAAAACACAATGAATTGGCTTAAGACACAAGTGACTGACCAGGAGGAAATGCTGATAGTAGATGGTACAGAGCACTTGGTAATGAACAGACATTTTAAAATAAAAATGGCCCTGGCTGGTGTGGCTCAGTGGACTGAGTGCCAGCCTGTGAACCAAGGAGTCACAGGTTCAATTCCCAGTCAGGGCACATGCCTGGGTTTCAAGCTAGGTCTCCTCCAGTTGGGGGTGTGTGAGAGACGACCACACATTGATGTTTCTCTCTCCCTCTTTCTACCTCTCCCCTCCCTCTCTTCTACTTTCTCTAAAAATAATGAAATAAAAATCTTTAAAAAAAGAAAATAAAAGTGGGAAGGGAGATGAACAGACAATTCATGGGAGTGAAGACATGGAAAGATGCTTGATCCATACAGATAATCATGGAAATATGAAATAAAACCATTTTAAAAGCTTTATTGAGGTATCGTTGACATACAATAACTACACAGATTTAAAGTATACAATTTGATAAGTACTGACATATGTATATATCTGTGAAATCATCCTCACAGTCAAGATAGTGCAATAACCTCAATCCCCCAAAATTCCCTTCTGCCTCTTTCCACTTCAACTCCCAAGCAGTCACCATGCTGCTGTGGTTGCTCACTTAGGTAGTTTCCAGTGTTGGCTGTTGCTAACAGCGCTGCTCTGAATATTCCTCTGCCTGTCTTTGAGTGTCTGTTCTTACATGCTGCTGTTGGGTGTATGTCTATAGGTGGAATTGGACCTCCAGGAGTCCTAGGGTATGCCAACGCTTGGCATTAGAACTTAATCCACAAGCTAGCTTCTCCCCTTAGGTGCACACAGGCACCACAAACAAACAAACAAACCCACAGCAGGCCTGAGACCTTTGTCCTTGGAAAGTCTGGCTGGCAAGGCTGGCGCTCACTGGCATGTGGACCTGGACCTTGGCGGGGGTTCCCTGTCCCTAAACTGTCTGCGCAAACACGAGGTTCATGCTGAGCACCTGCACTCCCAGAACCTGGGGTCTTGTATATGCTGAACGGAGGGCCAGCATGACTGGAGCCTGGTGAGAACCTTGGTACTGGGTCTCTAGGAACCCCTTGGGGACCACACCTCCCTTGCACTGTCACATCTCATTTTGAGGCAATTGTGTCCTGGTGATGCCACTGGGAGGCGACTTTGGATGTTTGCACCTGGCCTCTGGCCTTGCCCTGCATGCCTTTTCCCTGGGCTCATTTTGCTCTGCCCTGTCTCGTTGCAAACCAAGAGTCACGGGACAACCATCTGCTGAGGGCTGGGGTCCTCCTGGCGAATTCCTGCACCTGAGAGTGGTCCTGGGGACACTGACACATGTTTGTAATGAGCAGCACTTGCTTTTCATTTTAGCCATTCTGCTGTAGCCTCACATTATGGTTTTAATTAGTGTTCCCCTGATGTATCGTGAAATCGAGCCCCTTTTCTTATGCTCATTGGCCAACTGCATGTCCTGCTTTTTAAAATGCCCCAGTGTTTTTCCCATTGGAAAAATTGGGTTAGTTGTGACTGGTGAGGCTCAGTGGGCTGGGTGTCATCCTGCAAACTAAAAGGGCACCGGTTTGATGTCCAGTTGGGGCACATGCCTGGTCCCTAAGTTGGGGGTGTGCAAGAGGTAAAAGATAGATATTTTTCTCCCCCTCTTTCTCCATCTCCTCCCCACTCTCTGAAAATAAGTAAAATCTTAAAAAAATTGAAAATTGAGTTATTTCTTTTTCTCATTGATTTATAGGAGTAATTTATGTTTTTGTCAATTACACATTGCAAATGCTTTCATCCACTCAATGGCTCACCCTTTCCCTCACTTTCAATGCAGTTTAATTTGTTGATTTAAAAAAAAATTATGGTAGAGCTTGTCAGGGTCTCCAGAGCGGGGCAGAAACTAATAGAGGAGATAGATAGACAGATAGATAGATAGACAGACTAATTGACTGATTGATTTTAAGGAATTGGTTCATGTGGTCATGGGGGCTAGCAAGCCTGAGGTCTGCAGGACAGGCCAGCAGGCCAGAGGCCCTTAAAAGAGTTGGTGTTGCAGCTTGAGTCTTGATACAGAATTCTCTCTTCTTTGGGGGGACCTCAGGTTTTTTCTTAAAGCGTTCAACTGATTAGTTGCAGCCTATCCATCTGGAGACGATAATCTGCCCTACTCAAAGTCGACCACCTTATACGTTAATTTCATCTAACAGCACCTTTCTGGTAACATCTACACTGATGTTTGACAAAATAACCAGGTAATGTAACCTAACCAAGTAGACATATAAAATGAACCATCACAGTGCTTCTGTGCTCTCTTTAAGAAAACTTTGCTTACCCCAAATCATACTTTACATTTTCTTATACAATCTTTATGGATTACCTTTCACAGATTCCATTTGTACACATTTCAAAAACAGGTAAAACTAACCCATGACATTGAATATTGGGGTAGCATTACCCTTTGGGGTGGCAATTACTGGAGGGGACATGACAGGGGTCTGGTCAGGTTCTGTTCTTGGTCTGGGTGCCAATGACATGGCGTTGTGGAAATTCATTGAGCTGTGTCTTATAATCTGTGTACTTTTGAGTATGCGTGTTACAATTTGATAAGCTTAAGAAGCACAGTAATAGAAAATACAGAATGGACTCCTAGTTTACCAGAGTTTACAAAGACCTGGGAAGAACTATGAGCTGAGCACAATCTGTGGTTTGTACCCTCCACCCTCACCAATCAGAGGGTTCATATTTGACCCTGTATTGCATCAAGCAACTCAGGATGGTGGCCCCATCACAGCACAGAGCCTAGCAGACATCCATGGTGGGGAAAACTTATATTTCTGAGAGGAAAATCAGCCCTAAAAGCACAATGTTACTCTCTAGAACTGATCCGTTTCTAGGCCCAAACTTAGGTAGTTTCATGATCAGACGTGGCATCTTACTTCATGGTCCTGATGCTGTGTGCCCCGCCAGGGACGGAGGCGGCAGGGATAGAGGTTGTGGTGCTGGCGCGCCACCTGGTGGCCTCAGCTTCCTATGCAGGAGGGCCACGTCCAGAGAGCTCCACCTATACTCCAACTTTGAAATCCGCAGTTTGCAAGAGAGGAGTGGAGTAGGGAAGCCAAGTCAGTTCGGGGTTTTCACGTTACTCACGCTGGGGCGAAATATTTGCTGCAAAGATGCAAGAGCACTCTAGAGCCAGTGAACAAATTATTTTTGCTGGTGGGAAAATGGTTTGGGATATTTGTTTGACACATTTATCTAGGGCCTGTGTGCTGGTAATACCAGAGGGTGAGATTCTCAGCCTTGGCACCGCTGACACTGGGGCTGGGTCATCTCTGTGGGGCCATCCTGGGCACTCTGGGGTGCTGTGCAGCATCCCTGGCCCCCACCCACTTGAAATCAGGAGCACCCTAGTTGTGACAACCACAGATGTTCCCAGACATGGCTTAGTGTCCCCTGGGGAGCAAAACTGCTCCCAGTTGAGAACCCTGCTTCTGTGAGACACACTGTTTTTTTCCTCTCCTTGCTTCCGGGGACTTAATCTGGGTGGGGTTTATGGACTAGCCCACAGGAATGACATCCTAAATCTGTAGAGATGAGACAGAACCTTCGTAACTCCATCTATGGTAGCAGCCCCTGCCTTACATCTTGGGCTCAACCTACTCCTGGAGGCATTTTCCAAGTCACGACTTCTGTTAAATCCATATTTAATTGCCTTTCCCCCTCCTCAGTGCACCCTCTGACAAGAATATTCAGAAATACCCTATTTCTGACTCGTGTGGGATGGGGCAGTAATTATCATGACACACTTCTCAAATCCCACGGAAGTCACTGGCTTATGGGATGAGATGTTGACAGTTAATTATTTTTTCCTTCCCCACTCAGCCAGTGGTTCCAAACCAGAAAGTTTCTGGGTCTTTCCTGATCAGGTAGGCTGAGTTTGGGGTAAATCTGGAAGTACGTGTGCAGGGCTTCATAGTGATGGACACGGGCGTGGGACAGCAAAGGTTGTCTGGGAAGAACTAAGGCTTATGCAGACGCTTCTGGAATGTATGGCTCATTTTCAAGTTCCCACCAGTTTCTCAAAGTGGGGTTCTCCAAACATGCAGGTCAGAATCACCTGGACTGCCTGTTTAAAATGCAGAACCCCCAGGGGGCTGGCTAAATGCATTCAGAACGCATAGACTTATCGAGTGGTTCTGGAACACTGCGGGGCATCGGAATCACCTGGAGGGTTTGTTTAAATACAAATGACTGAGACCCACCCCCAGTTTCTGATCCAGTCGGTCTGGGGGTGGGAGGACAAGAATTTGCATTTCTATGAAGATACCAACTTTAAAGATTTTATGTATTTTTAGAGAGAGGGAAAGGGAGGGAGGGAATGGTAGATGCAAGAGAAAAACATCGATTGGTTGCTTTCACACGTGCCCTGACTGGAGACCTAAACTGCAACCCAGGCATGTGCTCTGATCAGGAATCAAACTGGCAACCTCTCACCTTGTGGGACAATGCTCAGCCAACTTAGCCACATGGGTCAGGCCAAGTTCCTATCTTCTGATATTGCTGAGCTTGGGGTGGGTGAGGCCACATGTTGATATTGTCCTAGTGCAGGATCTCCCCCTCAGGACTGTGGACATTCAGGCCAAATCCTTCTCTGTGGGAGACTGTCCTGGGCACTGTGGGGGTTAAGCAGCATTCTTGGCCCCACCCGCTGGATGCCAACACTCTGTCTCGAAGATTGATCCTTGACAGAATCACGCCTGGTGAAGACTCAGTAAGACAGGCACAGACCTCACTCCTTCCCTCTCTCCATCTACTGTCCATACCAGACTGAGTGCTTCCTGGGGCGGCTGACTCCCAGCCCCTGTTTTGTAACTTTTTCCCCCGATTTGTGACAGACACTGCTGTGCCTAATAAGCTCGCTTCTTCCTCTGTGGATGGAGCAGGCAGCCTTCACACAGAGGTGGGGGTCCTCAGTCAGGCCCTATACCAGGGTTTCCATTCAAGGGCTAGGTGAGCTCAAGGGTTAAGTTTGTTCCCGTCCCCCCCCCACCCCCCCCCACCCCGCCCATGAAATAGCTATGATGGTGCTCACCATGGAATGTTGTAAATAGGAACTGGGCGTCCATTCAAGGATTACGTAATGACTATGGAGTGCTCCCTGTTATAGATCCACAAAGGTTTAGCAGTTGGGGACAGAACCTTAAATTTTCTGGGCTCCTTCCTGTCTAGGACATCTCTCCCCTGTTAAGTTATAGAAGGCAGGGTATTTAGGTTATCAAATGGCGAGTTTACATGCCATGACAACATACTAGGAGAGGAACGCACAATAACCTTACTGCAAACCTAGGAGTCTATCTTGATCCCTGGGGTCATTCTGTACATTGAGGATGAGGGTGTATGTGGCTGGGGTCAAAGGTGAGGGAACACAAGGCAGACCAGAGGTTTGCTATTTCTGGAACCACCTGTGACCTCTGGCACAAGAGCTTACAGTCATGTGGTATAAGGCAGTGAAGTAATTCAGCGTGTGCTGGGAAATTTGGAAACTCCAGGCTGAGGGGTTCTGGAAACTTGGGGGAGGGAGGGCAGGGGTGGCGCCAAGAGGTTAATGCAGAGACAGGCAGAGGTCGCGATGTCTATTTATTCCCCACACATTACTCTCATTACCATGGCTAGTACTCAAGAGTCAGGGCCACCTTGCCAGACATGTGGTGACTGCAGGTGGCTGGCAGTGGCCCTTCTTCCTACTAGTTTCCTATAACACACGGCACCGGGTCGACCTTGTAGACCACCAGGGAGCCTCCAACACTGCTGCCAGCACAGGGGGGCTCACCAGATCTCCCAACCCCCTGCCCAAGCAGAGGATGCAGGGACATCCATGGTGACCTTGCATCTTGGGCAGGCTACCCAGCCCTGGCTTGTGTGTTTGCCCTCCTTGGAGGCAGCTCTTGCCTGCTTGGCAATTGCAGGCTGAGCAGGGTGGCACCAGGGGCCCCGGAACAGGAGGCAGAGCCCTCTGGGAGCCCATGGGCCCAGACACACAGGCAGGCTAGGACTGCTCAGGGGGCCAGGCAGGAAGGTCACGATTGTGCCCCTTGGGGTCTGTCGGGTGTCAGCACGGGGGAAGAAGGAACGAAGGGGGTGAAAAGCGCATCTATCAAAAATGCTCGATTGTCCCAGAAACTGGCCCTAGGCACCCCAAGACGGTCCCACTCCCGACAAGCAATGAAAGTGTCTTTAGGAATCTGCAACTAGAGTTCCTCATGCAAAAACCTGTGGTCCGAAAGCCTGGTGGACACTGGTGCCCAGACCACGGCTGGCAGTGAGCTCGTCTGAGCAGCCCAAGTTGACTCAGAAAGAGGCTTCTCGTGAAGACAGACCAAGGGAGCGGGACCCAGGAGTGGGCTTCAGATGTGGCTGGAAATAAAACCGGTGGCTTCTCGGAGAGCGGCCCGAGGACAATCCCCACTCTGGAATATTCTAGGAAATACTTTAGTGACTGGGTTTTTGGAGATTGGTGCTGGTCTGTGTTCACAGCTTGCTGGCTCTGTTTTGAGAAGGGTCTGGGAGCCATGAGGGAGTACAAAAAGGAAGGGGGAGGGTGAAGGGAAAAAAAATAAAAGCATAAAAATCTATCTCATGCAGGTCCAATTTCTTTTTCTTTTTCCCTCTTGGGCAATCCAATAGAAGAAAACGCAGAACACATGGAGGCTCCGGTCAGCTAGGAAGAACCCAATGTGCTGGAACGGCTGGAAGGACAAGACATGCAAGTGGTGAGGTGGGTGCCCACATTCAAGAGGGCACTACTGTGGCTGATGAAATCTCAACTCAGTCCACCCTTGAGTGGCTTGCGGCTGCCACGTAAGCGCAGAAACAGCATGACCGGCATCACAGGTGGTTCTGGGGCCCAGACATAAAAATGTTGAAGGTACTTTGGGGATGGGGTCCCAATGAATAACGAATACAAAATTGACCTGAGCTATGTCCCCCCCCCGCCCCCGCTTAAAATTAAAGCCAAAAAAAAAAAGTGGCCCAAATATCAACATGAATTGTTTTTCATGGAAAGATTAAAGTTGTTTTTTCCTTTTTTTTTTTTTTTTTACATTTTTCATAAAAAATCATGGGTTAAAGAAAAATGTGAGGAGGTCAATGACAAAATAAAGAGTGATACCCCAGCAGGATGGGAACATGTAGGAAAGCCACCTGCCACCCATTCCCAGGGAGGAGAATCACTGGAGACAGACAGGGTGGAGGTCAGGGGCCTGGGGGATGGCGAACCAAGCCAGCAAAGGCCACCAGGGACCCTGTGAGTATGTTTTTAAAGCAACTCTAGATGTAATATATGCTCACAGTAAAAACAAAACAAACAAAAAACCCAAATCACAGTACCCAGTCAGAATTCCTGGGCATGAAGAAGCAGCCAGGCACTGGCCTGTCCTTTCCCTGCCCAGGCGACCTCGTCTCGCACCACTAGGGCCACCTGGACACGTTACGTGCATGCAAAGAAAAGCACTCTGTCATCACTTTCTGCATGCACACCACCCGTAGACACTCTGGCACCAGCCCTTCCAAGAACAGTGGTGTTTTGGCCTGTGTCTCTCCATGGGAATTGGGAGGGGGAGGAGCAAAATTCGGTGGAAACACCTGGATGGGGGTCTGCACCACCCCCACCCCCGTGGCCCAAGGGGACTCACGTAGGTGGTCATTCCTGCTGGTCATCGTTGCTGGCACTGGGCGTCCGACTTCGGATCTGACTTCGAAGTTGCTCAATCAGCTCTGGGTTCTGCTGCTGCATCTGCTGGGCAAACTGCTGGCCCCTGTAAGAGAGGTGCCAGGCTCAGCTGAGTGGGGACATACCCAGTGGCTCCCCTGCTGATCACACACAAATGTCCCTTGGGCATTCGTCATGAGTCCCCCATGTGTGTCCCCAGGAAAGGAAGCGTGGCCACTCACTGGAGGACACAGTGCAGACACTTCCATTTCCCCGTGTGGCGTGCCCCTGCTGGCCCACTGCGCCCCCACCGAGCAGGCCTACTCACGCCTGGATGAGACTGGCCAGGTCGTTCTGCGAGGGGCTGGTGCCGGGAGTCCCCAGGGGGTTGTGGTTGCCGGAAATCATCCCAGACATGCTGCAAAAAGAGAGCCTATGATTCATACAAGATGGCCCAGCCCTCCCAGTCCCACCGTGCCTCCACTCAGCCCTTGGCCTCTACTGGTAGGAGACGTTCTCTGCCACTATCTGGCAGGTCCCATGGGCCCACCCTTCTCCCTGATTGCAGCCCCTGTGAATTCCATCAGCTTTCCCAGGATCAGCCTTTTGCCCTGAAGACACTGATTCTTAATGGGGCAATTCTGGCTCCCAAGGGACAGAGAAATAGGATACAAAAGGTGACACAGTGTGTGATTCTATATAAGTGACATGTCCAGAACAGACAAATTCACAGAGATAGGAAGTGGGTTACTTGTTGCCAGAAACTGGGGGAGGGGGAGTGATTACAATGAGGATGGGGTTTCTTTTGGGGATGATGGAATGTTCTGGAACTAGATGGTGGTGTCAGCTGCATGGCACTGTGAATGTACTTAATACCACTGAGTTGTAAATTAAATGGTTAAAAGAGTAAATCTTACGTGTTTTACCACAATAAAAAGAGATCTAAGCACAAGACCCAGGGGAGAGGGGCCATCACTTACAGCTGCTGAACCTGGGGATTGTTCATCAGGTTTGATGCCTGAAGAAAAGAACCGATAGTCAGAGAGCAGCTTCCAACGCGTTCTGAGGACGCTCCCTCTCAAGCACCCTGGGCTCTGCTGCAAGCGCGTCACCCCGGGTGTTTGCTCCCCCCACCTCCTCCCTGCACCTTGCTTCCTCCTCCATGCGCTGAGACTCATGTTTCACCACTTTGATCCTGTTTGGGACCCTTATTTGAGGAGAATCCAGGGCAGCTATCATTTTTTTTGCTGGCACCTTAGGCTTCACCAGGTGGATGTATTTTAGATCTTTTCTGGGTCACTGAGCACATGAGGAGAGCCAGGCAGTCCCCAGCTTTGCCCCAGCAGCAAACAACACTGCCCTGGGCCCTCTCGTGCCTTCACTCCTCTGCTGAGGACATCTCCTTAGAAGCTGGGTCAGGGGGTGCAGGGTAAGAACTGCGAGCTGCCTGCCAGCTCCACCGCTCACAGGCTGCCTAACTTTTGGTAACGGGCTGGAGCTTAACTACTGCTGGCTTTCCAGGACAGTGTCTGCCCCAACCAATCAGCTCCGCCAAAAGCCGCAGGAACAAGTAAACACACAGGCGTGGCTGGCCCAGTGTAAGTACACAACCAGCGACGACTGTGTAGATGGGGTCAAAAGGAGCAACTGCTGCTAGGCCGAGTCCTTGCACCAGGGTGCCCTTTGGAGAACTGGTACCCGCTCATCTCTGTCCATGGACAGAGACCCCGGTTTTTGCTGCTGGGTGGCCTACGATGAAAAGGGCAACCTCTGTCAATTTAGAAGGTGAGACGCTCCTTGATGTAGTGAGGATGTTTCTCTCACTCACAGTGCGTTCCGGATTTTTCTCTTCCTGACAGTTTAAGACCCTCAGCCTGAGGCCCCATGAGCCAACAGCGTGGCGTCAGGCCGAGTAAGTTACCCAGAAATGGATGCGTGAGTACAGGGACCAGCCCCTACAAGTCCAGACACCTGGGAGTCTGCGCTCAAAGGACAGAAGTGCCTTCAGACTCAAATCTTTGGTGGCACTAACATTTCGAGACATCTAGCGCTCCAGTGTCCCATCTGAACCTGCAGGTGTGGCCATAACACTATTACTGTCCCCCTGTAAGAACACCATGCTGCGGCAGAGGAGAGAGAGGTAGTTTTCCCAGGTCATGCAGCCAGTAGAGGTAGGATTCAGTTTGTCCTTGGTGCCCAGTACTGAGGGTCTAACTTGGTGCCAAACCCACCCCCAGGAGACACATGACAGTAACTAAAACATCTGTGGTTGTCATGACCGGGGGTGCTCCTGGCACAGAGTGGGTGGAGCCAGGGATGCTGCTCAACACCCCAGGCAGGCCCCCACCCCAGAGAATGACCTGGGCCCCAGTGTCCACAGTGCCAGTGGCCCTGGTCTATGGCAGGCAGCGATGTGGCAGACCCCGTGGTGGCGAGGACGCTGCTGGGGGGAGATAAGGGCAGTTACCATGCTCATGAAGCTGGGGTTGTTCAGCAGGCCTGCGATGTCAAAGCTGCCGACCCCTCCCGTCTGTAGGGATGAGGAAAGGGCTGGTTAGTGTTATCAGGACACAGGACTATGATATTGGCCTTAGGAACTGAGAGGTAAGACCCTGTGTGGGGTCCATGTGGAGTTCTAAGAAGTGTTCAGCTCAAACAGATGCATTCTCAGCCTGAGTAGCTAAGCCAGATGGCTAGGGGTACTGCATAAAAGGCGTGAGCCCAGGTGGCCATCACTTGGGAAAAGCACTTCGTTAACCACATATTTCATTTACTGATGCTCTGACATCTGGGGTCTGGTAGACCCTGGAGGGACAACGGGCCCTTCCAGAGGTGACAAATTTGCAGAGGCAGTAACTCACCCGGGAGTGCACCTTTCCAATGCAAGTGAGCCAAGTCCGCCTCTACTCCCACCCCGCCCCTACAGGGCTCACACTCGGGCCACTAGTCCCCGGCCCTAGTCACCCCAGAGCCTCTGGGGATTACTCAAACGAGCCCATCCTAAGCTTGCTTCCCCTGCATCACCCCTTCCTCCCCATGAAATCATCATAAAGGCTCCTGTCCACATATCCTCCCTCCTGTTGCCTAATGACTAACCCTGGTAATTCTCTGGATGGCCCTACAGCATGTTCTCTCCTGTTTCTAGGGATCTGGGAAAATAAATCCGTCTTCTTCCCCGACAAGCATTTCTGTATGTATGCCTCATACCTGAGTAAGCACATGCCCGGCCCCCTAACAGCACAGACCTTTTTTGCACACGGGTCAAGCCCAGCCCTCAGATAGTGCGCTGAGAGTGTCTGCCTGGCCTGCCCGTGCTCTGCCTCCCTGCCAGAGTCATATCCCTCGTTCCCAGGGGGACTTACTGGACTGGGTGTCTCTTTCAGCTTTAATTCCGCTATCTTGAGGTTGGACTTGTATGTTTCGTTGTCGGGGTCCAGCTCCAGGGCCTTCTTGTAGTAGGCCACGGCCTCTGTGTGCTTGTTCAAACTGGAGAGCGCCAGGCTAGGGGGAGATGCTGGGAATGAGAGGGAGAGGACCCGGGAGCTTCCGGCCCCTCCCTCAGCCCCCAAACTGCAAACTGTCTACAAGTCACTGTCGTCATTCCTTGTCCAACCTGGGCTCCAGGGGAGCAGACACAAGAGGGGGGGCTAAGAGGTTGGATGTATGACAACACTCAAATGCACGGGTGCTTGTGTCTTAGTGCTGGTGCCCAACGTCAAGGGCTCTGAAGGCCCACAGGATGGAGGAGCAGGGTGGTCAGATAAAGATATGTTTATTTGGTCCTTGTCCCTGCTTCTGGCAGAGAACTCCTAAAATCCCTGAAATTTCCCAAGTCATAGGTGTGTCCTTTCTTATTCGTAAGGAGCCCCCTTTGATCACACCTAAAGAGGGTGACCACATCCATGTACCAGGAGGGTGGTGCACCCCCAACTCCACAGGGATGAAGGCTGGATTTTGACCCGTGTGCCTCTTCATTTGACTGCTCCATCTATAACCTTTCTGATAAACTGGTAAATGTAGGTAAAGTGCTTTCCTGAATTCTGTGAGACATTCTAGAGAATTACGCATCCAGGGAAGGGGATCATGGGAAACCCCTATGAAAGCTGGTTGGTCAGAAACACAGGTGATGACCTGGACTCATGACTGGTATCTGAAGTGGGGATGGTCTAGTGGGGCTGAGCCCTGAACCTGTGGAATCTGACTAACACCAGGTCGTGGTGTCAGGACTGAACTGAATGGCTGGACCTGCAGCTGGCACTGGGAGAGCTGGTTGTTGGCATGGAAAGCCTTCCAAACAATCAGAAGAGGAGGAATGTGGTGGATACAGGGGGAGGGGCGGGGCAGGCCAGGCCCAGACAGAGAAGTCGGTTGGAGCCTCCCACCCAGGTACTCACCCCATCCTCCCATACGCTTTGCTGTAGGACGGGTCTATGCAGATGGCCCGTTCGCAGTCCTGCACGGCCCCTGCGTAATTCCCCAGTTTGCTGTAGGCTGCGGCTCTGGGAAACAAAGCGGGGCGGTCAAAGTTGTACCCCTCACTGGCCACCTAGGATGAGGCATTTAGGGGCGGGACTTGGTTTCCCCGTCTGTAAGGCAGGGAGGATATGGGGTCATGAAGGGGTATGTAACACTGCTAAATGAATGCAGGCTCTGAAGGGGGCATGTCTGCTGGGCACCTGTGTTGGGGGGCCATGTGAGGGTGCTACCCATTTACCAGGGGAAACTGAGGTGAAGGGAAGCAGAGGGTTATGACCCAACACTGCAGAGCAGACCAGAAGTGACAGGACTTGGTTCTGAACCCACAGCCAGTGTCCTGCTGTGTATGCTCTTCTTGCTCAGGGGTGGGGGGGGCGGGCGGGCGGCGCATGCCTGTTTTATGTTGCCAAGTAGTCTCTGTATCCTCTCTTCAACTTTCCTGTATATCTAGAATTATTTCCCCCTCAAAAAAGTTTTTTAAAGAAAGAAATCAAAACAAGAGCACCTCTACCCCAGAGGCGATGTGGACAACCTTCGGCATACACACTTCCGGTGTCTTCTACACGCTGTGTGTTTCCACGTCTTCTATGCCAACTGTGCGACACTGCCTCCTGCTCGCCACCCAGTCCCTCTCATTAGCACAATACTCCACACAGTGAGGCTATGTAATAGCTCATTTGGCTTTTCCTTTAAAAGCACAGGCCAGGGTCAAATACATAGTGACAGAAAGACGACTAGGCTCTGGGTGGTGAGCACACACAGAGTATACTGATGTCATGTTACAGAGTTGTAGATCTGAAATTTATATGTTATTAGCACAATAAATTTAATTTTTTAGAAAAAAATACAGGCCAGACACACTTCCTCACTATTGTAAATGCTGTCACGAACATGTACATGACACATTATCCAAATTTGGGGTTATTTTCTTAGCTCCACATCTGAGTAGAGAATGGTGCCACCTAATTTTAACATTACCATCAACTCTGACAGTTCACTGACTGCCTGACACTGTGCTATTCGGGACTGTGGTGGCACAATCGGTAACCGACAGTATACCGGTCCATCCCTTTTACCAGGGTGCGAGATTGGCCAGCGTGGCCTCCGAGCCAGCCCGCTGGTACCTGTTACAGAAATAGACGGCATTTGCAGGGTTGAGCTCAATGGCTTTCCCGTATAAGTGCACGGCGGCCTCAAAGTTCTCGACTTTCATCTGCTCGTTTCCTAAAAAGAAAGAAAAGAAAAATAAAACGTTAAGCTGGCTGTTCATAAGAGACCTGAGGGATCCAAAGCAACATTCTTAGCTATCCTCAGTCTGAACTAAAGGTCTGAAATTTTGGGGTCAGGATGCAACAGTCAGGCACCGGCAGGAGGGCACGGTTTGCGTTGAGTGTCTTACAGGGGCTGGCCTGAGCCAGCACTCAGTGATAGCAGCTGTCACTGCTTTGGTTGTGGTGCTTGGGGGCGTAAGTCTCAAATACTGTTATTTTTGCATCTTCTTTCAGAAATAGCTCAGTTTCAGTAAGATGTAATTCATACAACAAAACTCACCCTTTACAAGTATACAGCTGAGTGGTTTTTTTAGTATATTCAGAGTTGTACAACAATAACCTCCATCTAATTCCAGAATATTCCATCGCCCCAGAAAGCAAACCTGTCCTCATCAGTCGTCCATTGCCCCCTCCCAGCCCGATAACCATGAACCTACTTCCTGTGTCTGTGGATGTGCCTGTCCTGGACATGTCACATAAACGGAATCACACACTCTGGGGCCTCTTGTGTCTGGCTTCTCTCACTGAGCACTATGTGTTCAAGGTCCTTCCACGCTGTAGTGAATGTCAGTGTTTCACTCCTTTTCGTGGGGAGTAATATATTCCAGTGCAGGGATAGGCCACCTTGTGTGTAACCGTTCACCAGCAGATGGACATCTGAGTAGTTTACACTTTTTGGCTACTAAGAACAGTGCTTCTGTGAGCATTTGTTTACAAGCATCTCTGTGGACGTGTGTTTGGATGTCTCCTGAGGATGTACCCAGGAGTGGAACTGGGGGGTCATGTGATCACTCTGTGAACCATCTGGGAAGCTGTCAGATCATTTTCCACAGCAGGTGCACCATTTACATTCCCACCCATCGTATGTGAGGCTCTGATTTCTCCTCATCATCACATCAGTGTTCTTAAACGCCACCCCTACCTGGGCTCCCATCTCCAAAGGCTGGTTTGCTGTCCACTGCCCAACAGCACCCCTCCCTTGGCCTCACCCTCCCGTAACACCTGGAGGTCAGGTGGGTGAGGTGCTCAGTAGGGATGGAGAGCCCTTTTCTCACCTTCAGTTTTGAGGCGCTCTGCCTCGGCCAGGTCTTCCTCTGAAGGTGGGGTTCGCTCAGGGCTCCTCAGGTTCTGTGGCATCTCCTGGCCCCAAAGAAAAGATGGCAATCCCACTGCCCTCCACCTTTCCCAAACCTAGCCCCTTGAGCCTCCCTCCCCATCAGGGGCCGCTGAGCTCTGAGGGAGAGGAACCCAGACGCAGTGCCTGCGATGCAAGCGCCCCACTCCTTCCCTTGGGAGAACACGCTTTGGAGCCACGGGCTCTCTGCGCTGTTCTCACTGTTCTGGGTGGTGATGGGGGCAGCCCTGAGGCTCACCTTGCCTGCAGCCGCTTCAAATATTTCTGGAAGGGTCTGAGGAAGTGCGAGGTCGCTGTCTTCCACCGTCACCCCAAAAGCGGTCTCCAGGCACTGGATTGCAACTGCAAGAGACACGAAGGTATTATCCTCTGAATGTACCCAAGTTTGCCACAGGGACTCAGGGGACCGGGCTCAGGCTTAGGTTTCTTTAAGTGGGTTGGCAGAGTCCATGAGGCGCATTGTGTGGTGTGTGCCCCTCGAGCCCTGGTCTGGATTCTTCCTGCAGTTGAGAGCCTTAGAAAACTCAGGATGGATGGCCATGCTTTGAGTCCTGACAGCAAGGAAGTGGGGAGGAAGATGCTGTCCTTGCCCAATGGGGCTCAGCTGGGTGATATCGGGGCTCCCTGTGGGGTCACAATGCTGGGGCCAGCTGGCTGGGAACCTGTAGAGCTAAGCCTCGAGTGCCATGTGGGAAGCCAGGTGCCAAGGACACTCTGCTGGACCTGCCAGGAGCTAGGCTGGAACACGAAGCTTGAGACCAGACCACCCCCGACCCTAGTCTTCATGACTAGGCTCCTTCCTGGGACTGCACAGCTGCACATGGGACAGACAGGAACTATTCAGAGACCTGTGGCCACCTATCTGGGGGCTGTCCTGCCTACTCTCTGCTCCAGAATACACGCCTCCTTTCCCTCCTACAGAAGGCCTGGCCTAAGGCAATGGGCGGTGGGTGGGACCCTGTGGTGGGGGAAGGGTCCTGGGCGAGGAGGCCAGAGAGCTCCGTCCTGTGTTTGCCCAGGGCTCAGCGGCAGCCTTGCCTGTGAAACAAGGACAGGACCGGTGTCCATGGCTGGGCAAGTGTGCTGGCCTATCATACCCACCCTGTGGTGGTCCTAGGCACCAATGAAGGGAGGGAGGTGGGGAGGAACAGCAGGAATGGGAGGAGGAGGTGTGGGCATGAAGCTGGAGATAGGGGACTCTATTCCCAAGGCCAAAGAAGGTCCGTGCATACCTTCCAAGCTCTCCTGGGCATCAGATGAGAGCCCCCCATGCCGCAGCTGGTCGTGCAGGAAGCGGATGATGGCATAGGCCAGGCGCTTCTTGTTATCCATCTTGAGACAGGAAGAAATGATGCCCAGGGGGTTTCAGACCTGCAGACCCTAGGCAAAAGCATGAGGATTGGGCGACTGAGACAGGCGCTCTCCCACCCACTCCCAGGTCCTGCTCCAGGCAGGAATCTGCAGAACATGTGTCCCCCACCTAAGCACACTGGCCACTTTTATCTGTGACGTAAAAAGTTAACGATCCCATTTCACAGATAAGACATTCAGGCAACCATGCTCGAAGCCCCTGCTCTTGGGCTTGTGGGTGGGCAGAGCACCCCTGGAAGTTCCTCCCCCTCGTACTCACAGGAGGTCAACAAGGCCCTTGCCCTTTCACCGGCTGAAGGGGGGTCACCCTGGGGCTCCTCAGGGACTCTGAGGGCTGCCTTGCATGGGCTGGAGCCCTGTTGGTCTATGAACCCCAAGTTTCCAAGCCTGATGTCCCTAAGGGACGCCAGGGTGACCCAAGCATCACAGGGTGGCCTGGGCAGACTAAAAGGCACTGCAGGGCATGGATCCCTTTCCAGGCTGCCTGAGGGCCTCCTGTGTTCCTCTGCAATGTTCTGTACTGCCAGGCCAGGCGTGACCCTGCCCCAGGGGACCCTGGGTTGTGTCCAATGACACCTGCGATTGTCATGACTGGGGGTGCGCCTGGCATTGAGTGGGTCAGCCAGGGATGCTGCTCAACCCCCAACAGTGCCCAGGATGGCCCCCCACAGAGAGCGATTAGGCCCTCATGTCCCTGGTGCTGAGGTGAGAATTAGAAACGTGCAAGGAGTCTGCTGCCCAAATGTCTGTGATGCACCTGGTAGCTCACACAGCACATCTCACTCCCGTCTGACACTGAGGTGCATCTTGCTCCCATAGAGAGGACACAGGAGCGCGATAGGGACCTACATGCTGCCCAAGGCCTCTCATATCCACTCAGCATGGCTGGGGGCCACACTGCGAAGTGTCTTGGTCCCCTTGAAACATCTCCAGTGGGATGAATAGTCTGTGCCTCTTAGAAATCAAGGAGCAGGCCTCCTGATTGCATCATCATTAACTTGTCACTCACTGGCCAGGGGTCAGAAGAACAAGTCATTAACCCCCAGGCTTTACAAGCTGGCTGACGGCACGCCTCAAGGTTGCGGTGCTAGTGCAGTCAAGGTGTGTGATGCTGGCCATGCTCAGAGCTGCTTCTGGTTCATGGAAAAACACATCCATCAATAAGTGCTTATTAAAAAAATGGAGAGAAGCCAGACACAAAAGGCCACGCCATGTGTGATTCCATTCAAGTGAAATGTCCACAAGAGGCAAATCCGGAAAAAGGAAGTGAGTCTGTGGTTGTCAGGGATCGGGGAGTGACTGCTAACTGGGACCCAGCTCTTTTCAGGGGTGATGGAATGCTCTGGAACTCGGGGTGATGGTCGCACAACTCTGTGAATATACTAAATTCTACTGGTTTTTATGGTATGTGAATTATATCTCAATTTCTAAAAAGAGGAAAAACCTAAAATAGCTGTGTTTTGTAGAGTTGAATAGAAAGTTACAGTCATTCCTGGAAAGCTCTAGGGGGATGGTGATAAGTTTCCCTCCTATTTCTGGACACAATGAGCCTTGACCAAGCAAGTGCCTTTAGCCCTAGAGCATCCCTGGAACCAGGTCTAGGATTAGAATGCGCCAGAGCCCAGGGGACAAATGGCCAGTTCCAGATCCAGAGGATCTTGGGGGTGATACACAGGGGTGCATGGAGATCAACCACAACCTGCTTGTCTTGAAGACAGCGAAGCCCCAAAAGGTGACTCATCCTCCCCAGCTGGGGTAGTCTGAGAGCTAACTGGACGCCTGCCAGCCTCCAAACCCAAGAGACCGACACGCTGCTGAGAATGTCAAAAATGTTCCTGTTTTGCACCTATTTTTGACAGATAACAGTAGCCAAAAGGTAGTCAGAACTCCGATGCCCACTGACACGTAAGTGGAAAAACACAATGTGGTCCATCCACGCCATGGAATATTATATAGCCTTAAAAAGGAAGCTCTGACACCTGCTACAGCATGGATGAACCTTGAGGACATTATGCTCAGTGAAATAAGCCAGTCACAGAAGGACAAATACTGTGTGATTCCACTCGTAGGAAGTCCTTAGAGGAGTCAAATTCAGAGACACAAAGTAGATGGTGGGTGACAACTGGGGAAGGGGGAGTTAAGAGTTCCAGCGTGGGAAAATGAGAAAGTTCTGGAGACGGATGGTGGTGATGGTTGCACAACAAGGTGAATGTACTTACAGCCACTGAGCTGTTACTTAAAAATAGTTAAAATGGTAAATTTTATGTCTATTTTACTACAGCTTAAAATTTTTTTTCAAAGGTCCCCCCCTTAATATATGAACCTCTGAGATCCCAGGACCCGGATCCTTTGCATGGTGTGTTTTAAAGCACGGGTCAGGTTTTAAATCACATGGGGCAGCTGCCTGCTTAGCTGAGAATAGCTTTTGCATTCTTATGTATGTAAGAGCCTATGGAACATTTTTGATTTTGTCTCGTGGCTCCCAAAGCTGACAGCATTTGCCACTTGGGCCTTTATGTTTGCTGGCACCCCTCCTCGCCCCAACCACAGTTCTGGCAAACTGGATGGCAGCATACCTGGGTCTTATAGGGCAAGCCACAAGTTCAGACGGGAGGCAAGGCAAAAATCACACGGCTGAGCAACTGGATTCTGCCTAAGTGTCCTGGGCACCACTTCTGAGCACGGTTTCCCTGCTGATCCTCAGGAGCCAGCACTGGGTCCTGTGAGATTCACAGTGCGTTTTGGTGGGGTATGTGTGTTTAGGGGGGGATCTGCTTCCCTGCCTGGGAAACTAACAGGTCCTGGTGGTGATGGGTGTTTGCTTAAGAATAAAAAAGAAACTTGATCTTTACCATAACTGTTTCCTGCCCTTCTGAACTGAGCTGAGGCCAGAGGAAGTGACTACCAAGGGGATCACTGAGCGTTTAGGAAACGGAAAGAAGTCACACTCATTTCTGGCACGCTCTCAGCTCTTCCAGTGCTCCTGGCCCTTTGTACCTCAGGGCCTTTGCTCATGTTACTCTCAGCTCTCCTGTCCCCACTGAACTAATATAAGGCAACTCTCTCTATTTGCCTCTAGGCTTCTCCTGATCTATTGATGCAATATCCCAAATGTCAGCACCCCTCTCCCCCCACAGTGCAGGGTGACATACCGTGTCCCCAAGTCAGGCCCCCCTGGAGCCTGCCCTGGGCCAGTGTATGGATGATGGGCCAGGGACATCCCATTTTCCTGGAGGAGAAGATCTGGAGTCATAATGCCTTAGGTCCAGCCATTTCTCCTCAAGGCCAACTGCATGTCATGTTCCCTGTCCCTGTGTCACATCTGGAAGAGTCCCAGATGATGCTCTCACTTTCCTCTTCTACAAAATGGGGTGGGAGAGGTATCTTCACAGGTAGTCGTGGGAATTCAGTGACCTAATGCAGGGTTTCTCCCCTCAGGCACTATTGACGTATGGATCATTTTCTGTGTGAGGAACTTTCCTGTGCAATATAGGATGTTTAATAGCATCCCTGGCATCTGTCTAATGTCCCCTCGGAGCTGGAGGTGGGGGCAGGATCATCCCAGGTGAGATCCCCCAGGTCAAGGGATTCCACTGACCCCAGGAGACTGTGTTCCACGACCATGTGACTACTGAGGTCCTAGGGGGCTACACACATTTAAATAAAAACAGTGAGTGGGAGGAGAGAGGTGACTCACAGATGCTTGGGTCTCCCTGGTTTATACTGTCTGACTATCGGGGATTTATACCGGTATATGGTGTGAACAGGGATTAAATTCACTATTTTTCCAAATAATTAAGAGGGGGTTTCTCCCTCTCAGCATACAGACATGGGGGCTGGGTCATTCTCTGCGGCACCCCTGACCCCTCACTCACTGGATTCCAGGAGCAACTCCCAAGTGGTGACAATCACAGATGCCCCCAGATATGGCCAAACCACCGCCAGCTGAAAATCACTGGTAGACACTAAGTGGGAAAAATAAAGGCTCTAGGTCAGCATTAATCAGATTTTTCTGGCCAAATGATTTTGCTACAAATTTTCAGAAATATTCTGTGTGCTGAGTATCTATTTGGGTCTTGGAAGTGCAGAAGAGGGACTGTGGGTCAACGTCAGAGGACCGGGCACAGTGTTTGACACAGGTAGTCCCTAAAAACTGCTGCCTCTCTTCTCACCTCACCAAGCGGGGAGGACAAGGAACATCTAACTTTAACACGTGGCTTCAACATGAACAAACTTTCTGCTCCTCAGAGAGCAGGGCCCAGCCTGACACAGAGACGGCACTTCTACTCGATGGCTACTAGGCACTCTGTGTCTCTGGAACAATCACAACTTGTAGGTCTTTGGCTGCTGCACAACATTCTCAAAGGCCTACTCTCTCCTAACAGTAAGGCCTGTATGAGCTCTCAGAAAGCACCATCAGGGTGCAGGGTACAGGAATGAGCCTGGTGAGGGTGGGCAGGCGCCGCCCCAGGTTGTGGAGGGAGGTCCCAGAGGCAGCTCCTCTTTGGCACCTTTAGAATCCCTTCCAGCTCTTAGTCTACTTTTTCATTTTATCATTAAATCCTCCCCCCCCCCCCCCGCGCCAAGCTTCCATTTCTTTTATTTCTCTGCCTAGGACTGATTACTCAAATGGAAAAATATGGCACACCTTACTAAAATGAGTGACATGCACCCCAGGAAGCAGCACCCACTTTTTGAAGGACAGTCCACCACTTGTGGGTGCTACTCCCTAGGGCACCTCTGGTATCCAAGAAAGAAGGCCCCAAAGCTAGAACTGGGGTTCACTCCCCAAAACACAGCCCTGTTTTCTTCTAAAATGCCACCAGGTTGTCCTGCACAATTACGAACCCTTGAAAGCTCCCCGAAATGTAACTAGTGTGCACGCACAGCCCCTCAGCATCGATGTGTCACCTGCTGTGCTCCAAACCTTCTGTGCGCCACTCAAACCCATTACTCACTTTTCCTCTGACCCACTGGGAAAACTCTTAATCTCCTTTCAACACCAAGCAGCACAGTCACCTCCTCAAGCAGAGCTGGACACCCTCGTTTTCCAGCAAAGACCAAGTACTATTCCCACCTCTGGTCTAGTACCCTCTACCAGGCTCTTTCCTGGCATGTCTTCAGCCAGCAGAAGGTGAGCCATCAGACAGACCAGATCATCTTCCTTTGAACACTAGCACTTGGTGGCATTTGATCCACATGGACTCAGGAAAATGTGAGGTCACTGTCAAATTCAGAGCCACATGACCAGATTCCTTGGGGAGGCCCTATTCTTTGGGTCTCAGTTTTCTCATTAGTAGGTCTTTGGTCTTGCCTACCTACCCACAATCTATTTTATTCCTTCAACCCTCACTGAGCATTTCCTACCTCGGCTGGAGTTGGGTCTTAGGCCAAAATAAGTAGGATCAAGTAAGACTACAGCTCTTGACCTGGGGCAGAGCTTAACTCCATTTACAGTCGCTCACCCTTCTAGGAAAAGGTAATTATAAACCTCAGGTGAAGTCCTTGGAATGCCAAGGACTTTGCAGCCACTGAGCTAAGTGCTGTACATGCAATGGCTTACTTCAGTTGTCAGCAAACATTTTCCGAAAAAGGTTGGAGTAAATTCCTTCAGCTTCACAGGCCACAGGGTCTCTGTGGCAACGACTCAATGCAAAAGCAGCTACAGATAAAGTGTATGCCACTGGGCGTGGCTGTATTTCCACAAAACTTCACTTACAAAAACAGGGCTCAACTGGATTTGGCTCCCTGATCAGTTTGCTGAGACCCTGTCTTGTTTTTACCTAATCCCCATTCTACAGAAGGATAAATTGAAGCTTAGAAAGACAACGGCTCTGCTCAAGATCAAACAGCTAAGACACAAATCAGTTTTGAACCCAGGCAGTCTGACTTGACAGTCTACACTCTACAAAAATGGGTGTGCACACAAAACCCTGCATATGATTTCTTGGGGTTCACCTCCCCCACCAGCGCAGAGGCCCTGCTGCTGAAGAATCACTTGTCTAGAGCAGGTTTTAACTGCTAACATTTGGGGCAGATCATTCTCTGGGGAACCATCACGGGCAGCGAGGGGGACTGAGCAGCATCCCTGGACCCTCAACCACTTGATGCCAGGAGCACCCCAGCTGTGATGGCCAATGTCCCCGTCACCCAGTGCCACAAGGGGAGGTGGAGGGGCTGACAAAATCACTGGCCTAGGGAGAGGAAAAACAGACTAAACAAACAAGCAGGGATAAAAACAAAAGAAACAGGAGCATCACTCAGGGATGCAGGGTGTACACCATGTTCTGACACTTGATGACTAAACTAGTTATTCTCTAGCGAGCACTTAACAAGCACCAGGAACCTGATTAAAGAATGTTCTCACATAGACTCTAGGAAGCATATACTTCTACAGTCCCTGCTGAGGAAAAGTGCTGTTCAGAGAGAGAAAGCAACTTGTCCAAGCTTACACAGCCAGCGAGAGGTGGTGCACCTGGTCGTCAAGTCCGGATTTCTCCCGCCTCTAGCACAATACGTAGAAGACCCTAAGTGTGAAGTAAGTCTAACTGCTGGCCCCTTTGAGCTGGGCCCTGTGGCTTTAACTCTCCCCAGCCACCGTCCCCAAGGCAGGAACTGGAACAATGCACATTTTACAGAGGGGAAAACTGAGGCTCTGATAAGTGAAGAGGCTGGCCAAGGTCACCCACCTGGAGAACAGCGGCGCTGACACAGGAGCCCCTACCTGAACCCCGCGAACAGGGGTCCCCTGATTTCAAAGGACCGTGCTCCAGACAGCAGCGGACACCCAGAGAACGATCACTACGTGCGGGGTGTTTTAACTTTTCGTTTTCTACCCACGGACGTGCGAACCAGCATTTCTCAGCCCTGGGGTCAAGGGGCGGCGATGGCCAGTCAGACGACGGCCAGTCGACGCCTGGCCTCAGTTTCCCCTCCGCACCGCCCACTCACAGCACCCGGAGAATCGTGAGGCCACTCCAGCCCTAGACCGACCTCCCTTACGGGTCCCGGAGCCCCGGAGGCCCCGAGCCGCGGACCCGAAGCCAGTCTCGCTCTGCGCCAAGCCCCCAACTCACCTCTCAGGTGGCCGAACCCCGACCCACCGACGGCTGCGCCTGCGCACCGTGGCGCCGCGAGGCCCCGCCCCCCAGTCGGGACGCCTGCGCGAAAGGAACGGGCCCGTGTTGGCTCTCATTTTGCGCAGGCACGTCAATTGTCCCTGCCGGAGCGGGGGAAGTGACGCAATTTAGAGGCGGGAACGAGTTGGTCGTTAGGGCAACTGACCTTTGAGACCGAATGAAGGCCGGAAATTAGGGATAACTTGTCCTCTAGATCTAGAGCGAAAGTGGAGCGGTGCATGGTGGGACAGCGACGGACTCCTGCGGGTAGGCGGGGACTGTCACGTGGGGTCGAACCGGCCACGTGGAGCAGCTGCGTTTGCGTTATTGGCATTCTGTGAATACCAGCAAGTATAATTCACTAGCTTTGTTCGTTTATTCACCTACCCGCTCACCCACAAATGCATGCTTTCACTCATTCAATACACAAGGCGTGAAGGAATACATAAATTGGTCACAGCGGGTACCTAGTAGTCAACAAATATTTATTGCAAGATAACTATAAAGCTCGGCAAAGTGTACTCATTACTTTATATTGGAGTAGGCGGATAATAAAAGTGAACTAGTACATAAATTAATGAATTTCACTGAATGGCAAGCGCTATGAGGAAAAAATGGGGTGTTGTGATCGTGATTGGGGAGGTAGGTTCGCTGGGATGGTTAGGGAGGGTCTCTATTTTTAAATGCAGTTTTGGAAGGTAAGGGAAAGCACTCCAGGTACACAGAAGAGTGAAAATGAAGACTAAAATAGAATTAAGCTCAGTGCGCTTAATAGAGAGGGAGTGACGAGAAATTCCCTAGGATGACTCAGAATTGCCCACCGCTAGTGTTAAAGTTGCCAGAAGTGTTCTCTCGATTCATTTTATCTTACTTAAAACGCATGCACGTTTAACGCCTTGGCGTATTTTCTCTTGCAGAAATAAGAGGGGTTTTTTTGTTTGTTTGTTTTTTTAGTTTAATTCTAGTAAGTTTTTATTTCTGGGTGCCTTAGTTCAAGACTTTATTTTAACCGACAACTCTCTCTGTCTCTGTCTCTCTCTTGTTACTGCACTATTCCAAAATACCTATTGTAATTTGAAGTTCTGGATCCGTCGTTCATTGAGGCTTTTTCAATAATACTTAATTGCTTTTTTTGTTGTTGTTAGGTAGACAGGACGCAGTTACCAATTACTACGGAGACTAGAAGCCCAGGCGAAGTACTGAGCAGAGAACCACAAATGTGTAATGGGTTAGAGGTGCCAGCGCGCAGCGCGATGCCTGTCTTCACGTATCCCTCTCCTCGGGGCACTGCCTCTCGCTTTTTGCAGCTGAGAGCCAATGACGGGCAGGGACGGCTGCGGAGCGCGTGCGCAGACTGTGAGTGTCATGACTAGCCAGGGCTGCTCCTGTTATGGGTGGAGCTGGGGCGCGCGTGCGCCCTACTCTCCGGCGCAAGCACCCTCCCAGCGTTCAGTGGGCGCGCGGGCGGCGGGCACCTTAGTCGCTACGGCAGCGTACGCTGAACGGACGGAGGCGGCTGTCCGCGGCAGCTGAGGCAGCCCCACGCGGACTAGGTAGAGAGAGAGAGAGAGATCGCAGGTGCACACCCTCCCGCCATGAAGACCCCTGCAGGTACTGGTCATCCCTCGGTGCGGTCCCGCTAGTGGGACCCGTACGCCCCCTGTACCCTCGTGCCTTCGGGGGTAGAGACTTGGGCCTAAGATCGGGGCGCAGTGACCCTCGAGTGACCGGGTCCCTGGAGAAGGATTGGCGAGCGCAGGACCTCGTCCGCTCGGTGGCAGAATGAATGAACGAACCAATTCTTCTAGTGCTTCACTCATTCAACCAACACATGTCGCTTCTACTAAGGGCGAGTAGGGTCCTGGGGTGGATTCTGGGAGAGACCCCGAGTTCTAGACGGAGTTCAAGAGCCGGAGACAGACGTTCAGAAAGTGAAGAAGAAGAGAGGGCTTTAGAGAGCGGTCATTGCTGGGGCTGGTGGCGCTTTTATTAGGGTATTCCTGGAGGGCTTCTGGGAGGAGGTGGCATTTCAGATGGGGAGAAACCTCCGTCCTGCTAAGACCTCGGGGAGGAGCGTCCCAGTAGGCAATAATCGTGAGGGCTAAAGCCGGGAGGCAGGAACACGGGTAACGCGTTTGGAGAATAAGAAGTCATTTTGGCTAGATCACACCGTTTAAATGCAAATGGGCGTTATGGATGGGTTTTCATTAGGGAAACGATGTGACCTGTTAAGTGTGTATTTTAGAAAATCGCCCAGGTTGTGTCATGCCTCCTGGTATTTTTCCTTGGCCACCTGTCCTTTGCAGTTCTTTCTCTAGCCCATTGCGATAGTGATGATAATTGTATTAATGATAATAATTACAACTAGGGTTATGGACTCAGGAAGGCAGAGAATGTCTGCCTTGTTCACAGCAGGATTGATTGTTAGGTTGGGGTTCTGGCACATAGGTGATAATCAGTAAATATTTATGGAATAAATGTATCTGCTCAGATTTTTCAAATCCTAGCTTCTCCAGGAGATTTTTTTTTTTTTTAACTCTTCCAGCTCAAGTGGATCTCCCACCTTTCCTGAGCTCTTGGAGCCCTTCTTTACCACCAATTTTAATACAGACCTACAGTCCCTTTTTGACAATTCCGAAATCCAAAATACTCTGCAAGCAGATTTCCCCTAAGTTTGCAGCAATCTTTTGGCCAGAGAATCTGACTTGGGCTGATTTAAATGCTCCCGCCGCCCCCCACCCCTTAGTGTAAATCCGTGGTCTTCATCTGGGATGATTGTGCCACCCTAGGGGACCCTGGGTGATGTCTGTGGACATCTGTAGCTGTCATGACTGAGGATCCTCCTGGAATAGAGTGGGTGGGGGGCCAGGGATGCTACTTAGAACCCTAAGAGTGCCTAGGACGCCCCCTTCCCAGAACGACCCAGCCCCCAATGTTGATAGTGCTATTCAAAAACCCTACTGCAAAGATGCCAAGCACAAGTCTGAGCCAGCAGCACCCTGCAAAGATTCCTAGTGTTCACAAGAAGGGGAGTCCAGGACTACTTTGGCCCTGCTCAACTCCTGGCAGGCCAGAAGGGGAAAATGAGGCACATCTAGGTGTTTCCTGGAGCAATACATTCCACACCCACTCTGTTCTCTAACTCAACAAGTAATTGGAAACAGGTGTAGCCATTCCAGACCTACAGGTGCTATAGGAATGCCATGGCGGGGCCTCTCTGAGAGAGGAATGTGGAAAGGAAGTCTGGTATGGAGGAGCTCAGGGCAGAGATGTCAACCTGCAGGAAGGCCAGTGTGGCTGGGCACAGAGCAGTTGGCAAAACCAGCTAACCAAACCTGCTGTACTGGATCCAGGAGAGTCTGGACAATGTAGATCAGAGGTCGGCACCTGCTCTGTAAGGGCACACATGGTTTAGGCTTGGCTGCCACATACCACCTCCCACCTGAAGTCACTTTTAGCTCAAGGGCTGTATAAAAACAGGCAGGTGTAGATGCTGATGAAAGGTTTGAACTTGAATCTTGAGTATAGGGTGGAGCCCTGGGAAGGGGACAGGAAGACCTGAAAACAAGATGAGCAGATTAACAAAGGTGCTATGAGTACAGTACAGCAGTTCACAGTGTGGCAGTAGAATCAGACTGCGGCCGTGAACCCTATCTTCACCATTTCTTGGCTGTGGGATCATTGTGGCGGGAGACTTGAATCCTCCAGTTCTCAGCATTCCCATCCATAAAACAGGCAAATGGGAGGCAGAGTACAGAACTGTCTGAGAATTCAGAGAGGGGAAGAGTACAAAACATCTTATTCTCTGAACCTCATGTGGAAGTTGTCAAGTGACTGCTATTAGTACAGACCAGTCTCTTATCCGAAAGATCGCAGGGCTAGGGATGTTTAGATAATCAGAATTTTCCCTGTTTTAGAAAGGTATTACATTATAAATGTCACTGGGAGTTACATCCTGTAATCAAATTATTCTTTGAGTGAAATGCATGTGTCCACCAAATGTCCACCTCCCCACTATTGACATTTGGGGCCGACTCACTCTCTGTGAGGGGCCATCCTGGGCACTGTGGGGTACTGAGCAGCATCCCTGGTCCCCACCCACTAGATGCAGTAGCGTTACTCCTCAGTTCTGATAACCACAAATCTCCGCGGATGTCATCTTTTGTCCCCTGGGGAGCAGAATCACCTTCTCCAGAGGACTGATCACCCTGTGCATCCCCACCAAGCCCTTGAACCTTGCGCATCTGCAGAGGGACACACAGCGGTCCTCTCCTATTCCTCTGTACCCCTCCCCCCACCATTTACTCTGACCCTAATTCTGGATGTGAAGCAGATGCTTGGTGTGGGGTTTTGTCCTCTGTGTAGCCTGTGCAGGAGACGCCCTGGACACAGCAGCCCCCTGCTCCGTGGTGAACTACCTGAGATGGGACCTGAGCGCCCAACAAATAGGGGAGCTCACGGCGGAGCTCATGGAGCAGACCAAGCGCGTGTATGACCAGGTGGGCTCCCAGAAGTTTGAGGAAGTGTCCTATGAGAATACACTTAAGGCACTGGCTGACGTGGAGGTGTTCTACACAGGTAAGTCCAGGTCAGGATCTGGGCATGGAGTTCCTGAACCCTTACCATGAGGTGGCGCCACTTATCGCCTGGGGTCGTGGTGGGTGAAGACGCTGATGAGGGTAAAAGCATCCAGCAGGTGTGGCCTGTTCCCTTGTGTACCCTGTTCCACTTGGCCACCTGGCACGATAGGTCCTTACCCACCTCCTGAGAGCCAGCTCAGGTGCCTGCCTTGAAACTGGAGCCCTTCTCACCCCTTTTCTAGTCCCAGGGGATATTTGTTTTCTCTCTGAGAACTGAACTTGGCCCCCTTGCTTTTCTGCTCCCTGAGGCCTCCCCATGTGCTTTGGGTAACCCGATGCCATCTCCAGCCTGGCTCCGTTTCTCCTCCTTGGGGTCTGTCTTTGGGAGGAGTGAGATACTCTATTAAATAGATAGCAACACCCACCTCCCAGAGCCCCCTCTTGTACAGGATGATGATGTGATGACAAGAGAGCAAGGGAAGTCTCAGAGTGGAGCATCCTGAGCCCAGAAACTCCCTGACCCCACATCTCTAGCAAAAGTCATTTTCTTGGGAACCATCGAGAATCCCTGCTGCAGGATTCTCACTTGTTCCTGAGGCCTCACCATGTGAGCTCTGCTGGTGTTGAAGGCTGGGCCATGAGGTGAGGGCCTGCAGGTCAGGCTCTGTGCCCTGCTTCCCCTCCCCTTCCTCACTTTGGGCAGATGGGCCTCAGTTTCCCCCTTTTTTCTCACAGGAGGCGCTCGAAGGCTGAGGATGCTAATTCCCACTTGTCTAGCGTCATTCTACCCCCACCCTCACTCAGTAACTATGGTAATTTTAAGGAAAACTAAAACTGACTTGCGGCGCTCCTCTGGGCCGGCCCTTCAGGGCCTCTTCACTGCTCTCGGGGTGACGGCCAGAGTCCCAGATGCGGCCTTTAGTGCCCTGCACTGTCGGCCCTTCTCACCCTCTAAGGCTGTCCACCCGGCCATGTGGCCTTGCACTTGCTCACTCCCTGTGCGCTCAGCCTGGAGTTCTCACCTTCCACTTTGCTGGATGTCACACTGCTCTGTGATCACAGGAGCCCCTTCCCTGGCCTCTTGTCCTGCGCTAGCTGCCTAGATTAATCCCTTACTCTGCACTGTTGATGTCACACTCAGCGCATGTCAGTCGGCGAACCCCAAACCTAGAGGCTGGTTCTGTCCTTTTCACTGTTCTCTCTTGGGCAGCCAGCATCTGGCCCACCCAGAACCCCACTGTTTAACACAAGTCAACTGAGCAGGTGAGTCCTTGTGCTGCCTTCAGAGGTCTCCATGGTGCAGTGAGATGCACCCAGACCTGGCACATTTCAAAGGCCCAGAACAATGGAAATGGCCAAGCTGTGATTTGAATTCAGGCTTCTCCATGCAAAGTGTGTGCTTTTTTTAACTGCTTTTTGAGATATAATTTACATACTGTGTAATTCACCCATTTACAGCATACATTCCAGTGGTTTTTAGTGTATTTGCAGTGTTTTCCAACTTTCACCATAATTGAATTTTAGAATATTTTTGACACCCCCAAAAGAAGCTCCTTCCCCCTCTCCCAGCACCCACAAATCCACTCTCTGCCTCTGGATGTGCCTGTCCTGGTCATTTCACGTGAATGGAATCACACCCTCTGGGGCCTTTCGTGTCTGGCTTCTCTCACTGAGCGCCATGTGTTCAAGGTCCATCCGCATTGTAGTGCATATCAGTGCTTCACTGCTTTTCGAGACTCAGTAATAGTCCCCTGTGTGGATGAACCACGTTTGTATATCCACTCCTCTATCAGTGGGCATTTGGGTTATTTCCACTATGTGGTTCAGACGCATCCTGCTGCTGTGAATGGGTGTGCATAGGTTTCTGTGTGGACCTGTTTTCATTCCTTGTGGGTGGACACTCAGGTATGGAATTGCTGGGTCACATGAGTCTGTGTTAAAACTTATGCCCTTATAGCCACCCACTCTTCCTCTATTTAACAAACTATGAATGTGGTATGTAAATTACAAAATCATTCGTGAATTTAAATTGAGTCATCAGCAGCCCTGGCTCTTTCTCTAGCGTGGAGTCCCTTTAGCCTCTCCTGGTCTTGTCATACTTCTCTGTTACAGTTCCTTGCCTTGGAGTATTGTGAGTTAAATATGTTTCTATTTGGATTGTGAGGTCCCTGAGGACATGGGTGACAGCACTCATTTCTCTGTCCTGGTGCCCAGCCCAGGACCTGGTGTAGAGAATGCGAACTGAGCGCATGGACAAACAGGGATGAGTTCTGTGGTTGGGGCCTGCGGTCCGCGCTTGCCAGTTTCCACCTGGGGCCCATTTTCACAGCTGCCCCCTTGTCTCCCTGTTTTAGTTCAGCGGAATATCCTTGACTTCCCCCAGCACGTTTCTCCATGTAAGGACATTCGGACGGCCAGCACAGAGGCCGACAAGAAGCTGTCTGAGTTTGACGTGGAGATGAGCATGAGGCAGGATGTGTACCAGAGGATCGTCTGGCTGCAGGTGAGGACGTTGCGAGGACATGGAACTGGGCACATGGGAGGTAAAAAGCTGGGGGCAGGGCTGTGTCTCCAGGGGGACCAGTGGGCTGACACCTTTTCCAACTGGACCATTTCTCTGCCCAGACTTTAAAAGGCAGAAAGCTGAAAACAGCTCTGGGGGTGGACGGTGGGGACAGCTGTACAGCAGTGTCAATGGACTTAATGCCACTGAGCTGTGCACTTGAAAGTGGTTAAGGTGATAAATTTTATGTTTATTTTACCACAGTTTTAAAAAAATTATTTTAAAAAGGACAGAAATAGCCTTGGCCGGGTGACTCAGCTGGTTGGAATGTTGTCCCATAGATAGAAAGATTGTAGGTTCCATTCCCAGTCATGGCGCATACCCAGGCTGCAGGTTTGCTCCCCAGTTGGGTTGCATACGAAAAGGCAAACGATCGATATTTCTCTCTTATATTGATGCTTCTCTCCCTTGCTCTCTTAAAAAAAAAAAAAAAAGCCTTCTGGTGAGGATTAAAAAAAGAAAAAAATGAAAAGTCAAATGGAGAGGAACAAAAAACCCAGTATGAAAAGCCTAGGACTCCTTACGATTCTCCCGCGTTCACCATGTCATCGCACTTTCCTGACCTCGTTGGGTGTTACTCAGAGATAATATCCTGTCTCCCTCCTGAGGTGAGCAGGGTCGAGTGACATGCCAGATGACAGCACGAGAGTGGGTTCCATCTCCATTTGGGGCTCTTCTCAGCGGCAGGGGAAACCTTTGCTGCTGAGGACGGAGGGCTCGCAGGTGAACGCAGACGCTCCTCGTGCTGCTTACCCACCCCCTTCAAATGTGCCAACATGTCGGCCTCAGGATCAGGAAAATGCTCCCGTGTGCTTTGGTGCACGTGGAGGCGTACGCTGGGGAAGCACAAGCTGTATTGTTTTTTAACATTGAAATTCTTACCAAGACAATTGTAGGTTCACATGCGGTTTTGAGAAATGATTCAAAAAAGTCTCATCTACACTGTCTGATTTTCCCCAATGTAACGTTTTGTGGAACCAAAGTCACCCTCACAAGCAGGGTATTGCCCGCTCACCTTACTCCTGCGCAAGTGCTCACTTGCTGCACACCCTCTGGGCAGTCTGCTGTGCCAGTAGTGAGCATCTGGATGCAGGTTCTGTGTGGACTTAAGGCTTTGTTCTCTGGGATAGATGCCGAGGAGGGCAGTTGCTGAGTCACAGGGTCATTGTACATTTGTCTTCTCAAGAAACCACCAAACTACTTTCTGGAGTGGCTGCACTATTTTGCCTTCCCCCAGCAGCGTCTGAGTGAGCCGGTCTCTCCGCTGCCTCCCAGCCTTTGGCACTGTCACAATTTTTCATTGTAAACAGAACTTTGATTTTCTTCTTCTAGGAAAAAGTTCAGAAGGACTCGCTGAGGCCAGAGGCAGCACGGTACCTGGAGCGGCTGATCAAACTAGGCCGAAGGAACGGGCTCCACCTGCCGGAGGAAACTCAAGAAGTGAGTGCCGGGCCTTGGGGAGGGCCCAGCCTCTGACCTGATGCCATCTTTCTGCTGCCTGAACTCTGGTGGGAGTTTTGTCTGGAGCAGCTCTCTCTTTGCACCTGCTCTGCTCTTCGTTCTCTGAGGTCATGCGGGGCTTCCCCAGGGTCATGGGGCTCCCTCAGTGAAGGAGAGAGTGCAGGCCTCCCCAGGCACCTTCCTGCATTCAGTTGTCCCCATGACTTCGGTGTGATGGTATTAAGGAAAAACTCAGTTCTCCGCCCGTAGTAAAGTGCTGCATCACAGCTTCTCTTCTGAATTCAGATGCATGAACAGATATGTGGGGATCCCACATGAAGGAGCTTTTTTCTTCTTTTTTAAAGATTTTGCTTATTTTTATTTTTAGGGAGAGGGAAGGGAGGGAGAAACAGAGGGAGAGAAACATGCGTGTGCGAGAGATACATCGATCAGTTGCCTTTCACATGCCCCCAACTGGGGACCTGGCCCACAACCTAGGCATGTGCCCTGACTGGGAATCGAACCAGCAACCTTTCAGTCCACAGGCCAGCACTCAATCCACTGAGCCACACCAGCCAGGGCAGTGGACTGATTTCAACCTCCAACCTTCAGCCCGTCTCCCTTTGCAGAAGGTGGGGAATAGGGTGGGACGAAAAGTTCAACAAATCCTCTGGTTCTGGGGCTTTCCGAAAGTGGGCTCATTAACATAAACTCAAGTGTGGTTGCAAGGGGCTCCTGTCACTTTTGTCCCCCTAGAGCTTTTTCACTTAGCAAATTCCAAGCATTTTAGGAACAGGGTCTAGTCAAAAATACACATTTCTTATTGTGTCAAAATATCACAGAAGACAGGTATCCCCTGTCTTCCAGCTGGGAGGGCGACACCTGCTCCCAGTCCCGTGGTTGGTAAGTGGGGTGTCTGCCTTCACCCTGTTCCCTCTTCCTTCCCTGTGCCAGGCAGCCCCGGCGATCCCACCTGACACCCTGGGCCTAGGCACTTCTCTGTGCCCCCCATGTCACTCCCTCACCCGGACGGGTCAATTTTTAACTTTCTAAAAACCAGATGGAGCCTGAACTTTGAACTCTGGTGGGATGTCCAAATGCTTAGGCTGTAGACTCTTGGGGCACTTCCTCAGTAGGAGGGTCCCGAAGGCTCTTGGCCAGGGACCTGGACAGATGAGGACACCCTTGAGTCCCCACATCACGAGGTTGCTCAGCACAGCAGACAGGCGTTTGTGCCAAAAACCTCTTGCTTTTCCTACCTCATCTGCCTCTTCTGTGGTGGGTCTCAACAGCGGTGCTCCCCTTCTCTCAAGGCTATTCTCTCCTTCAGAAAATCAAAGGCATCAAAAAGAAGCTGAGTCTCCTGTGCATTGACTTCAATAAGAACCTGAACGAGGACACGACCTTCCTGCCCTTCACACGAGAGGAGCTGGGTGCGTGGTGGGCTGGGTGGGGAAGGTAGCAACGTCGACAGCCGGTCTTGGGGAGGCGCTCCAGGTCCACTGCCTCCTCCCTCAGAGGTCAAGGCATTCATCTGGGTTTTTTCATTTGGAGCGCTCGGTGTTTTGGAATTTAAGGTTCTAGATGCTTCCTTAGAGAGGGCCGTGTTCTGCCTGTTGATTCTGACCTTGATGGGTGCTGTCCTGAGACAGTGGCAGGGGCCTGGGTGAGGATGTAGGAGCAGCAGGTTAGCAGCCTCAGCCTTGCCGCTGAGTCAGCTGGGATATCACCTCTGAGATCATGCTCTATGCCTCTTTATTGATTTTATTTTTTTTAAAGATTTTCTTTATATTTAGAGAGAGGGAAAGGGAAGGAGAAAGAGAGGGAGAGAAACATCAATGTGCAAGAGATACATTGATCAGCTGCCTCTCACATGCCCCCAACTGGGGACCTGGCCTGCAACCCAGGCATGTAACCAACCGGGAATGGAACCGGGAACCTCCTGGTTCGCAGGCTGGCACTCAGTCCACTAAGCTACACTAGCCAGGGCTGTCGTTTTTATTTCTAAAAGTCTTAGAAAGGAAAGAGGATAGACTGAATCAGCAGTTCCTAAGCCTGGCTGTACACAGGAATTTTGAAGGGTTAGGGCTTAGGCATCCTTTTTAGTTTTTACTTTTCCCTACTTCTCTTTCCCTGAATATTTTGTTTTGTGAAGTTTCAAACCTATGGGAAAGTTGGGAGAATGATGCCTTGGAAAGCCTTGTGTACCTCACCCAGGCTCATCCCCTGCTAGGGTTCTGCTTCCCCACCTTCTCTGCCGATACCCATGTGTTATTTCCGGACCCGTGAGAGTTACTAGTTGGCTTGTGACACTTAAGCAGGAACAGGACATTCTCCTGCATCAGAGGTGTAGCTCTCCCACTCAGGAAACAGAACATCAAGCAGCGTGTCCTTGAGAGTGCAGGCAGGTTTCCCACGTCAGCTCTCCCCGCGGTGTTCTCTCTCCCAACTGGGGTCCACTTAGTTTTTTGTGTCTCATCAGGCTCCTTTCCTATTGAACAGTTCCTTGGCCTTTTGCAAATTTTCCCCCATCTTTCCCGACACTGTCAGTTTTGAAGTTTCCGGGCCAGTGGCTGTGCTGCAGCCTGAGAGTGGCTCCGGCCAGGCTCTGTATCCTAACCAGCTGCATGTTGTGCAGTGTGGAGTCATGTTATGTAAGGTATGGCTCCGTGAGTCCAGTAGCTTTTGACTTGGAGGTGGGAGGACGCAAGACCCTTGTCGAAGGTGGCTGCACTACACAGAGACCCGTGAATGTGCATCTTCTAGAACAAGTGCTTACAGACTGGTCATAGCTACATTCTGCTGCCCTTCATTCTCATTCAGTTCCCACTGTGTCCCGGGCAGCAAGTCCCACTATGTGGCTCCTCGCATCTAAGGATAGCCGCCATGTTTCCTGACCAAAGGGAGCCCCAGGTCTCTGGAATTCAGGAATCTGCTCGCCCATGCTGTCCATGGGACTGCTTTGCTTTCTGTCCAGCCCGAGGGCCTCGCTTGTCAGACTGGCCTCCTGTGTGGGCAGCTTGAATTCCCAGCACATGGAACAGATGATTGTGCACCCTGCCTGGCCTCAGACACTCTGTCTTGCTGGAGTGGGGGCGGCAGCAGTGGCTGGGACATGTCTGCCCTGCCTGGCAGGGTCTGGCCCTGTCTGCAGGTCTAGCGGAGCAAGATTGTGGCACTTGTTTATTTTTTTTCCTGGTTGCAAAAGACACTTGGTGTTATTTTACAAAAATACAGATGATGTGTCTCTCTCTGCATATCCTTTTCTCCCCCCAAATTTTAATTAGGTGATTGTCTGCCAGGTGTCCCCATTGTAACACCAGTTTTCCCTTCATGATCAATAATTTCTCAAGTGAGGCTTTGACATGGCTGCTCACCGCATTTCCACCCACCAGCTGTAGCACCCGTGGGTGGTTTTGTACCTATGTTAGTCGATTTTCTCATAAGTCAGAGCTTTCTCTTCCCCCCCATTTATTTTATTTTATTGAAGATTTTATTTATTTATTTTTTGAGAGAGGGAGAGAAACATCGATGTGAGAAACACTGGCTGGTTGCCTGTCATATGTGCCCCAGCTGGGGACCAAACCTGCAGCCCAGGCATGTGCCCTGATCTGTAATGGAACCGGTGGCCTTTCACTTTGCAGGGCAATGCCCAACCAAGGGAGCCACACTGGCCGGGCCCCCCATTTATTTATTAATTTATCCATATCAGTGTGGACTATAGATCCTATTTTATTCAATGGATTAGAGTCTACTGCCGTTATCATTTACAGTCCCAATTTGACCTCAAGGGACAGATTCAAGCTTGGCATGTCTGTGTTAGGCTTTGAGCAGCTTTCTTTTGACACAGGATCTTCTAGGCTCATTCCATCTTTTCCCCACGAGGTGGAAGCCCTGAACGTGCTCAGTCTGAGGGCAGTGTACCTAGATCTCTGTCATGGAAAGACGGGTCAGGCGCAGGGGACCAGCGGGGAGGCTGTTGCAGCAGTGCGGGCCGCTGGGGTCGGGGGTGCTGCCCAGTGGGGGCGTGGTCAGGGCTGCTGGCTGGGTTCTGTTCATTGCGGTGCCATTTATTGAGAAAGGACACAGGAGGAGAACATAGCCCTCGGAAGCCCCCCCTGTCCAAGGGCCCAGCCGACTGTAGCTTTTCTTTCCCCAGAGAGTCCTGATGCAAATGGTAGCAGATTTCCTAGGCGGGCAAGTCCTTGACATCTTCCCTTTGGGCTTAGCTTAGGGCAGAAGCCAGAAACGCAGTGTGAAGGGGAGGCCGGGCCTGTCGTTTCCTGTTGGCTCCCACTCCTAGCCCACCCCTCCCACCTTGTACGTACACTGGTCTTTAAAAGCCCCCCTAATTTGATTCGTAGGAGGGCTTCCTGAGGACTTCCTGAACTCGCTGGAAAAGACTGAGGATGAGAAATTCAAAGTCACCCTCAAGTACCCTCACTATTTTCCTCTTCTGAAGAAATGCCATGTACCTGAGACCAGAAGGAAGGTGGAGGAGGCCTTCAATTGTCGATGCAAGGAGGTGAGAAGGCGGTGCCAGGGTCTGGCTTCAGGGACTCGCCTGGGGCGCCTGTCTGCGAAACAGCTTCATCAGGAACTTGGAAGTGCCGGGCCTGTCCTGTCTGCTCAGTGCTGGGGTGAGGTGCCTCAGTGGCTTGCCTACAAGGGTCACCCAGTGTCTATTGACCTAGGTCCAGTGACCGGGAATGCCCTCAGTGAGCTTGGTGGCTTCATTGCCTCATTGGGTCGGTTCTGTCCCCGGGGCCACACACAGCAAGGGTCAGAGCCTCTGTCCCGAGCTCATCTTGCTTCTGTCATGCATCTGCTCCTGCATAAATCCCGATACCCTCCTCTCTTCAGCTGTCTCCCATGGCCCCACCTTAGCTTTGGATTGTTCTTTCGTTGCCCAGGCTTGAGCTTGGGTTTGCCCTCTGCTCTTCAGCAGCTTGTGTGGGGCCTGGGCCTCTGGCCATGGCCCTGGGCGTGGCCTCGGCCCTCAGATGTCCATTCCCACATGGCACTTGGGTTTGTGTCTACACCCCATTGTGGCCTCTGGGCAACTCCTGTTTACCCTCAAACAGATAGGGGCGATGGGAGGAGCCTCCATCACCCTTCTTGCGACACCACTGGTGCGCACATGGCTGGTGGAGAGGAGCCACTGGCTAGAGGTCACAGGATAACAGGAAACGCACATGGTGAAGTCCTGTGTTCTCCGCATTTTGGGGCAGAAGACAGACCACTTTGATATGAAGATAACTTGGGGTTTGCACTGCAGAATCTGAGATGTAGCCCTGGCAGAGGCAGCACACACAGTGGGGACTACTGATGCCTGTAGAAATGGGGCTGCCTCGTCCCAGAGCCAAGGAGCTATGGTTCCAATGCCGTGTGCTGCTTTCTGCAGGGTGGCAGTATAGAGTGTTGAGAGCTCCAGCTGCAGGCTTTTTGGCTGCTCACGACTGGATAGGGGTTGGCGCCCCCTTGTCTTTATTCCTGTCCTGGCCCCCAGACTTGACCCGAGAGGCAGAACGGGGGGACAGGAAGAGCTCCAGGTCCCATGGGACATGGCATGCTGACTGGCACTGCTGGCCACCAGCCTTGTGTCCCCTCATGTGACTGGAAGCTGTCCACTCAGCTTTCCAGTTGTAATTTGTTTTCCTGTGGACCGATCATGCCAGCAGGATGTTCTGAACAGCCCTCTGTCTCTCCTTGCAAATGAAACAGACAGATTTCATTTTGTGTTGGCCCCACGAGTTCGGTTGATTGGCTCAGCTGCTCAGAAGTGCCGGTAGAGACTCAGTGCAGCCTTGACCCTGGGCCAGGCCCTGCTTGGTAGGGGCACCCCGGTGCACAGTGCCCTCCGGAGGCCATCCTGAGAGTCCCAGCCCCCACATTGCTTTTTACCCAGCTTCAGAACCCTTCATGACTCACACCCTTTGTGTTTGCAGAAAGGACCTGAGGGCTTATAGCTTATATGCTAGGACAGAAGCAAGTATGTAGAGATCTAGGCCAAGGTCAGGAGGGATGGAAAGCAGATGTTCCAGAGCAGTGCCAACCAGGGGCTTGGGCAGCCTTACAGCTGCTGAGACCCACTGGGGGAGCCGGAAGCTGGCCCGGGAGCGCCACGTGGGGGAAGTGGCATCCACAGGCCTGCTCACTTGTTGGTTCCAGGAGAACTGTGCCATCCTCAGGGAGCTGGTGACCCTGCGGGCCCAGAAATCCAGCCTGCTGGGCTTCAGCACGCACGCCGACTACGTCCTGGAGATGAACATGGCCAAGACCAGCCAGGAAGTGGCTACTTTCCTAGGTAACTGGCCTTCCTCTACCTCCCACGTGCTGTTCTTGACTGTGACGTGGTGGTGCTTCTGAGAACCCCATTCTGTCCCCCCCTGAGGTGGGCATCCCAATGCCTCCCCTGGCCCTGTATGTGACCTGAGGGATCCCAGCCCCGCCGCTGAGCGCTGGGTCTGGGGCAAGGCCTGCAACTGGCCCAGTCCTGCCATCCTGAGAGTGAGGCTCCAGACAAACGACTCACATGTGACTATCATTTCCTTGTGAAAATAAGACCGAGGACCCCTTCTGGAGCTGCTGTGAGGTGGTAGGGCACTACCTCGGTCAGGCTTTTGTCTCAGGGCCGCCCTTTCCAGTGGGGGCACCAGGACCCGGACAGCGGAGAAAGCCAAGACCAATGTATCGGGGTTCACCACAGTGGGGGTGAGCATGGGTGGCTTTGGGGTGTCGCTGCAGGGAGGTAGCCTTGCCTTCCCCTCTGTCCCCCCAGACGAACTGGCCCAGAAGCTGAAGCCCCTCGGAGAGAAGGAGCGGGCAGTGATCCTGGAGCTGAAGAAGGCCGAATGTGAGAAGAGGGGCCTGGACTTCGATGGGCGGATCAACGCCTGGGACATGCGCTACTACATGAACCAGGTGGAGGAGACGTGCTACAGCGTGGACCAGAACCTGCTCAAGGAGTACTTCCCCATGCAGGTGGTCACCAGGGGGCTGCTGGGCATCTATGAGGAGCTGCTAGGACTGACCTTTGACCTGGAGGAGCACGCCGCTGTGTGGCATGAAGATGTGAAGCTGTACTCAGTGAGGGACACGTCCTCAGGGACAGTCGTTGGGAAGTTCTACCTGGACCTCTACCCGAGGTGCGTCTGAGCTGGAGCGGGGGACCAGGGGTGCTCATACCATCTGGGGACTTGGGTGCTCGCCCCTCTGCTAAGAGCTCTTTGGGGCGTCTAGTCGCCTCAGCTGGCAGATGGGTTGATTGAGGAGTTGGTAGAATTGGGGACTAGTCTGGGGTTGCTACCCCTCTGGGCCAGTTGACAAGTGGAGCAGACCCCCAGCCATACCTGACACTGCCCCCTTCCCCCCAGGGAAGGCAAGTATGGGCATGCAGCCTGCTTTGGCTTGCAGCCAGGCTGCCTGCGGCCGGACGGGAGCCGCCAGATTGCCATTGCGGCCATGGTGGCCAACTTCACCAAGCCCACCCCGGACGCCCCCTCCCTGCTGCAGCACGATGAAGTGGAGACCTACTTCCACGAGTTTGGGCACGTGATGCACCAGCTGTGCTCTCAGGTGGGCGCAGGGTTGAGGGGCTGGCTGCGGGGGAGGGCAGGGGTACCCCACTCATACCTGTTGGTTAGTGGGTCTGGAGGCAGGTTTCTCCATGTTGGAGTCTTCATATGACATTACCGTGGATATGGTAACACCCTCTTGTATAAGTTTCCGTCACAAAGTCCAATAAGGGTGGCTTAAACAACAGAAATTTATGCTTCCCCAGTGCTAGAAGCTAGAGATCTGAGGTCAAGGTGTCAGATGGGTTGGTTTTTCTGAGACCTCTCTCCTTGGTGTGTAGATGCCATAAGACACAAGTCATATTGAATTCGAGGCCCCCTTAGTGACCTCAATTAATCACCTCTTGAAGATTCCATCACCAAATGTATAGTCACATTCTGTGGTCCTGAGGGTCAGGACTTCAATATATGAATTTGGGGGGACACAATTTAGCCCTTAATAGCTCGCAGAGCTGTTAGATTAGTGAAGATACATATGTGTAACATGCCTAGGATGTTGCTCATGCCGCCTCATCACCTGAGCACTCACATTAAGAAACATTGCACCATCTGGGAAAGCCGGCAGTGACAGCCAGAGCTCAGGCCGCGGGGGCCAGCAGGCACTCACCGAGCCTGGGGAAGAGCTCGAGGGGTGCTGTCCTCTCTGGATGGAGATACAGAAGCTTAGGAAGTTGAGCTTACTCCCCAAATAAGCTCTCAGTGGCAGCGACAGGACTCACTTGGGTATTCTGAGTCCCCAGCCTAGTGTCCAAGCCACAGGACCCCAGCTACACATGGGCATTTCTTCTCTGGCCTCTCACACATAGCCATTTTTCTTGATAGCAAAAGTGTGCTAAATGGGAGCATGTGGGCGAAATGGGAGCATGTGGTAACTGGGTGCTTAGTGGTTTTTAGTCAGTTCACCAATCTGGGCAGCAATCATCACTGTCCAGTTCTGGAACATTCCATCACCCCCAAAAGATCACTTCTGCCTCTTAGCTGTCACTCCCCACTCTGTCCACCCCATCCGTAGTCCTGACGAGTATTAATCTACTCTCTGTCTCTGGATTTGCCTGTCCTGGACATTTCACATAAATGGAATTATATACTGTGTGGCTTTTTTTTGTCTGGCTCCCCTCACTGAGCATCATGTATACAAGGTTTTCCATGTTGTAGCCTTTGTCACTGCCTCCTTCCTTTTCATGGCTGAGTAATATTCCAGTGTGTGGATGGACCACTTAGAAATATGTTTTGATGAGAAGTTTTTGACTTTGATGACGTTTAGTCTATTAACTCTTCCTTCATAGTTTGCAGGGGTTTTGTGTCCAAAAGACATTGTTTTCTAACCTAAGGCACTAATTTTTCACTAATTTTTTTTGAGTCTTAGCTCTTTGTTTTAACCTGTCACCGATTGTGAAGTAAATGTCTGTGGTGTCAGGTGAGGGTCACCTATTCACTGCCAACAGCAACTCAGGGCAAAGCCAGTGTCTGGTCCGCAACCAGGCTCTGCGCCCCCACCGCCTCTGACCACCTGGGCAGTTCATGTCCCCGCTCTGCGCAGCAAGCTGATGGATTATTTCCCATACCTGGAACAGCCTTCTACCAGTGACTGTCACAGTTCCATATCATTTTTGTTGGGTCTTTTCTGATACACACAGTTGAGTCTCATTATTGAAAGCAGTTCTGTGTTTTGAAGTTGCCACAAACACCAAGTTAGCAGATCCTAAACCACTTGCTCCTAGGGAAATGCAGGGCTAGGTTCCTGCAAACCTGGCCACAATATTTTTATTAACTGATCAATGCCTTGTGTTATGTGTGTTTCTGTTTAAAGATACCTTATGTAATGTACATGGTTGCTACACATCCAGCAGTGCTGTAATTCATACCTAAATGAGCTTCTATAATACATGGGTTTTCTCCCTAAGGCACGTCACAATCTTCTTTCACTGGAGGTCACTAGCCGGCACCTCAGTACCACAGTTGGTGGCCATTTTGACCATTGAAATCACCATAAAACCAGAAATGTGCAAAAAACAGGGCACTCAATAAAATAAAAAGGACCTGTTACAGTCAGAGCTGAAACCAGAAAGCAGAGCGTTGAAAGACCGTGCAAACGCTGCAGTGGTTGATGTGGGGGCTACAGATTTTAGTTACAGTTCTCAGGTACGGAATCTGTGATTAGGAAGGACCGACCATGTATCCTCCTCTTCCGGGTTCCCTGTGTCACTTTGGGCCAGGATAGGACTTGCCTTAAGTCACTCAGCGGCTTGATTAGCTGCCAGACCTAGGTCCTGGCTGCACTGGATAAAGTGCTATTTTTCAGGAAAAGTTTCAGATCCACAAAAGTGGACAAAATAGAATGTATCCAGCGTCCGTTATCAGGTTTCACTGTTTCCAGGCCTTGGCCTTTTGGGCTACAGGCTTTTTGAGAGCATTGGCTTCATGGGAGGGACAGGGAACCTGGGGGACCAGCAGGGACATGCGTACTCTCTGCCTCTCTGTGTGTCCTGGGTTGAGACAGGTTGGCCAGCTGCTGCCCAGGGAAACTCAATTGTCCCTATCCTCAGCCAAGTGTCACAGTCTGCGGGGAGGAAGGGCCTATGCCCAGGATGGTAACTGCCCTCCCAGGTGTGCTTAGGGTACTGTGTACCTGTGCACCCAGATAAGGCTGGGCGGACAGGAGCTGGCAGAGCAGGGTCCGCATTCTTGGGTGCTCTGCCCCGTCCCCACAGGCGGAGTTCGCCATGTTCAGTGGGACACACGTGGAGCGCGACTTTGTGGAGGCGCCTTCGCAGATGCTGGAGAACTGGGTGTGGGAGAAGGAGCCGCTGCTCAGGATGTCTCAGCACTACAGGACGGGCAGCGCCATCCCCCAGGAGCTGCTCGAGAAGCTCATCAAGTCCCGGCAGGCAAACACAGGTGCACCCTGCTGCGCCCCCGCTCAGCGAGGCCTCAGCCAGCTCTGGGACCCTGCCAGCCTCTGTCCTCCGGACCCTGAGGCCAGGGAAAATAGGGGAGTCTTTGGTGCCCTTGCTGCAGCCTGCGAGGCCCAGGTGTGCCCTTGGGATTTCTGGAGAGCCCCAGCTGGAGGGTGCTGGGGAGTGCAGTGCCAGCCTCTCGTCTCCTTCCTCTCAACTAGGTCTCTTCAACCTGCGCCAGATTGTCCTGGCCAAGGTAGACCAGGCCCTGCACACGCAGAAGGCTGCAGACCCGGCCGAGGAGTACGCCCGCCTCTGCCAGGAGGTCCTCGGCGTCCCAGCCACGCCAGGTAACTGCTCATGGGCCCGGACCACCTCAGAGGTGAGGCATCTCTGTTGTTCTCTGAGTCACCAAGGACCTAGCACCATGCGAAGGGAGTTGGGCCAGTTTGTAGGTTCGGCTGCCCTGAGAGAAGCAGGCAGCCAATGGCCTCACTTCTGCTTTGCCTTCCTCGGTCCTTGGTTCTAGCTGTGGAGCCTCACGGGCAGTTGGTGTGGGCGGCTCCATCCTTCCTCACTGGCTATGCATTGCTTCCATCCCCACAGCGCCTTTATGCGCTTCCTCAGGGCGCCCTCCTGCATGTTGCTTTGTGAACAGCCTGGGAGATGTAGAAAAGATGAGTGGTCTTGTACCCTGGAGATGACATTTTAATGTGTGTCATCCAAGTGCATGCGCCTACTTCACATGTATGCACATGTTGGCATAAACACTCGATCAATAAACATATACGATAATAAACATATACTGAGATTTAATGTAGGTATTACTGCATTGGTTTACTGTTTCATGAGCATTTTAAAAACTCTTCAAAAAGTGTGTTGCATCCACACATGCTCTTCGTTCTGTGGGCGAGCCTTGACTTGTCCCAGGGTCTCCCGGCGTTGAGCCCCAGTGCTGTGGCAGCTAGCAGTGTGAAAATGCTGCAGGTGAGCCCTCCGCGCTTCAGCGGCTCACAGGCAAAGGTCAGTTGAGTTCCTTTGGCCGATCACCTGGCCTCTGCTCTCTGGAAGTGTTGAACCAGTTTCCCTCCTTCCGGATGGGGAGGGTTCTCTGACGTGGCCTCTTTGAAGCCCCCTCTCGTGAGCGCAGACCAGGGACCAGGGCATCCTCCCCACAGCCTCATTTGTCTCCCAGGAACCAACATGCCTGCAACTTTCGGCCACCTGGCGGGAGGCTACGACGCGCAGTACTACGGCTACCTGTGGAGCGAGGTGTACTCCATGGACATGTTCCACACGCGCTTCAAGCAGGAGGGCGTCCTCAATGGCAAGGTGAGGAGAGGACTTCGAATGATGATTCCACTGCCTAGGACCAAGGACACTTGGCCTTGGCCTTGGGCCTGTGTGCCTGTGTGCCTGTGCAGCCAGCCCTGGCAGGGCAGGGCGCTGGGGCAGAGGTGGGCCCTCCCTTAGCCCTTCAGGGCTCCACTTCAGGCCCTGTGGGGCTGGGGGCTCGGCCAGTGTTCCAGCCCTTTGCTTAGTCAAAGCAGAGGCTCAACTACCCTGGTCCTGAAGGACAGCGTTCCTGCCCACACACTCAAGTGCATATGTAGCCTTGCACACACATGTACTCGCACACACACCTACGCTCGCACACGTGTTCTGAGATCCCCATCGGAGGTGTCAGCACACACTTCCTTGCGATGCTGACACAAGCACCCACAGGCGCCCTGGGAGCCGGTGAAGGGTGTTCAAGGACCCCCTTTGAGCCCTGCCCTTCTGCCCCACTGCAGGTTGGCCTGGACTACAGAAACCGCATCCTGAGACCAGGTGGCTCCCAGGATGCCAGTGTCATGCTGAAGCTCTTCCTGGGTCGTGACCCCAAGCAGGATGCCTTCCTCCTGAGCAAAGGCCTGCAGGTGGAGGGCAGTGAGTTGCTGGCCTGCTGATGCACCCAGGGGTCCTGCCAGCCCTGGATGGGGGCTCCAGCTCCCGCTGCCCTGGTGCCTTAGCTCCTGGTCTGGGAACGGGATGGGAGGTGGTGGTCTCCTCAGCATCCCAGGGAGGGTGGAGCAGGGTTAGGAGAGAGGCCATGCTCACTGGTCATTTCTCATAGCCAGTGTCCATGACCCCGACTTGGTGGCCAGCCTGGGCTGAAGAGAGCTCGTCCTCAAGATATCTGGAAAGTGCTTGCGTCTGGTCAAGGCTTTCTCTTTGTTGCACTAATACAGCTCCTTCCTGGGAATTTGTCCTACGTAAGGGGCTGGTTCTTTGAAATTCAGCCATTAAAAAAGAAAAAAGACGCTGGCCTGTTCTCTGATACCTGTCCCTTCTACCACAGAATAGTGCTACATTGGTTGTCACATTGTGATCAAGTTCTGGTGCTCCCATTAAGCCCTGACTTGGCGATCAGCACTCAGGCTGGGGACAGGGGTAGTTGAAAGCTGCCCTCTCTGCCCTGGAACATTCTGGTGCATTCTAGATTGTGACCCGTGTGGGTCACTGGGATACTGCTGAGCTGTTGGAGTAACTGCAATGGGCGGAGGTAGGGAGCATGGAGCTGGGGACTGGGGTCGCTCACCAAGAGGTGTCTGCCGCCAACCTCTCACCTAGCACAATTCTGGGAAAAATCCCTTGTCCCTGTGCAGCCACTGGCTGATGCGGGGCTGAGGCTGCCCGCCTGAGCACAGCGGCCGCTGGCCGCAGCGGTGGGGGAACTACAGACGTGGGGGTCCCCAAGTGAGCTGCTGGTTTTGAGAGATGATAAATTTTCTTGTAGGGCCTGCCTCCCCCCACTCCACCTCTTTGCCCTGGGCCCCTGGTCCAGCCCAAGTGCCTGACTGAAGGCCCGCCTCCCCCGTAAGTCCCCAGGGGTTCACACAGCCCCAGACCCCCCTCCTCTGGCCTCCATCTCCTTCCTCTGCATGCGCAGGACTCTGAGGTAGGGGCACAGAGTCTGGGTCAGGACCCCTTACCCCATGGAGACTCAGTCTCTGATTCCCCAGAGGGCAGCGGAGATCATGGGCACAGGGCCCCTACTGGTGCCTGGTTTCCCCCAGCAGCCAGCGCAGCTGAGATCTCGCCTAGAGTGCCCATGTTTCTCCCAGCCACTCCGGGGCCTGTAAATGGCTGGCCCCTGCGGCTACTGATGGCGCAGATTGCAAGGACATGGCCCATGCCCAAAGCAGGAAGTGCAGCTGTCACCCATTGCCCTGGGGCTGAGGGGGGGGCCCTTCAGGGTTCTGACGGCTTGGGGGACAGCCCGGAGTTAGTATCCCGCCAATCCATTCCCCTCCCATCCCCTGCTGCTCCCTATGAAGGAAAAAGGAAACATTTTTAAAATAAAAGGACTGAGCTTTTGTGTTTTGAGATATTTGTAACTTTTTTGTACATACTTGCTGGTTGGATTTTGATGAAACCTAAGCCCAAAGGCGTGCAGGGGGGACACCTTTGCAACCCGGGTGAATCTCCTCCATCTTCCAGGGCAGCGATTTTCAACCGGCCTGCCGCAAGAATTTTTACAGCATGCAATGCCTGTGTAGCCAGGGGCACCAACCTCTTTTCCCTTAGATTGCCAAAATGACAATAAGGATGACAAAATGTCAATAAAAAAGTGACAACAGTCAACACAATAATAGTCATCTGGTATGAATGAGTCAAAATTATACCTAGTTTTTGTCAGATTGGCAAAAATACATTTTTTGGTGCGCTGCAGAATTTCAGTCACTACTTGGTGTGCGCCCTACGAGGAAAGACATCGAAAACTGCTGCTCCCGGGAGTCAGGTGCCAAGGCTGCTGCCTCCCCTCCCGGCCCCCGTCATACCGGCCCTGCCTGCACTCTGCCCTTCATGCGCACCCTCAGCTTCGATCCTTCGCCAAGGGTCTCTCCAGCCCTGTGACAGTCAGGACGCTGGTGGCCTCCAGCAACTTCACTCCTCTCGCCTCTGAAGGGGGCAGCGGGGCCCGTGGGACACTGTGGGACTTCTATAACAGGTGTGCCAACGCTCGGGGTCTGGCGCACACTGCTTCATCCTCACCCTCCCTGCAGGGTTGTCGCAGGCGGGCCAGCTCAGTATCGGGGCCAACATCCACTCCTCCCAAGTGTCCTCACCCAGCAGAGCCCGCCAAAGCCAGCAACCTGACAAGAGATGGCCATGTACGGCCTCCCCGGTGAGGACAGCTGTCCGTCCCTGGCACAAGTGATGTTGTCACATAAAATTTGAGTTCAACCCAGATGTCAGGTGGTGTGGGGAATGGATCCAGCCTGGCCCGAGCAGCACGGACCTGATCTCAGAGTAGATTTTTAGGTGAGCGGGGCCCTGGGGTGGGCTCCCAGTACGGGCAGGGGCCAGGTAGGAGCCCACATGGCTTCTTGGGGCCCGGAGCGGACCTCAGCTGTGCAGCAATCCCAGGCAAGTGCTGTACTCACGTCCACACATCCCTGTCGCCCTACGGGCACTCTGTCTAGCCCTCTGCAGCCTGTGAGGCCAGGGTCTGCTCTGTGCATGTGGAGATCACTTGCCTAGAGCAAGGGAACCTCCCTGGTGTGGAGGTGGCCACAGAGTCCACTTAGTTCATGGGAGGACAAATAGTGCAGTTGGGGCTGGTGCTGTCGGGCCTGTGACTTTTGTTGAAACTGTTGGGGAAAAGAAATTCTTTTTTCACTGGATTTGAAACTGGGTAAGTATAAGCTGTTGGGTAAACACAGCCGCTCGAAGAGTGAGGACAGCCAGCCCAGAGGAAACAAGAGGGGGCCTCCCGGGACACCATCTGTGCCCCTACCTATCTAGGCCCCTGAATGTCACAGGAGCCAAATGACTTCCCTTTTGTGCTTAAGATACTCTAAGTGGCAGCCCAGAGTTCTGTCCTTGGCTTTGTCCCTGCCCTCAGGCGGTAGCTGAAGCTGGACTTGTGAGGGCTGACTGCCCTTTGGGGTGACTGTCTCTCATTGGTGACAGTGAAGTCATCAGGGCTAGGGGGGCAGTGCAGAAGTACTTGGGAGGTGTCCTGGCTGGTGTGGCTCAGTGGATTCAGCACTGGTCTGTGAACGAAAAAGTTGCCAGTTCGATCCCCAGTCAGAGCACATGCCTGGGTTGCAGGCCAGGTCCCCAGGGGGGAGTGCATGAGAGGCAACCACACATTGATGTATCTCTCCCTATCTTGCTCCCTCCCTTCCCCTCTAAAAATAAATAAAATCTTTCAAAAGAAAGTACTTGGGAGACTCGTGTTGGTTCTGGTCTGGGAGGGACTTAGTGGTTGGCCCTCACCTCCCCTCAGTCAAGGCAGATGGTAGGAGGGAAGCTGAGGAGCAGGACTTGCCCAGGACTCTGGCAATCAGGGTCGGAGGTGGGCTGGGGACTGGGGCTCCTGATCTCTGCCAGATGGTCTCAGAACAATGATCAGGTCTGGAAGGAGGTGTGTGTGTGTGTGTGTGTGTGTGTGTGTGTGTGTGTGTGTATTTTAATTTTCATTTATTGATTTTTAGAGAGGAAGAAAGAGAGAAACATCGATGTCTTGTTCCACTTATTTATGCGTTCATTGGTTGATTCTTGCATGTGCCCTGACCACGGATCAAACCCTCAACCCTGGTGTGTTCGAAGGATGCTACCCATCCTGGCCAGGGCCACGTATATGTCTGTAAATAGCTGAATTGAGGTAAACTTTCCATAAAAGAAATGTCATACTTAAAGGACACAATGTGATAAGGTTTTTTGTGCATACTCACAAAATCTTCAGCACAATCACAGCAGTGTTCTCGGCACTCCCTTCTCCCCTGTGCCCATCTGCAGTGCCTTCCCCCCAAGCACCTGCTTCCCTGAGTCACTATAGACTTACTTCAATTTTTTATTTCTACAGAAATGAAATCACACAGGATGGCCTCTTTTTTATTGGTTTGGTCTGGTTTCTTATACTGAGGATCATTACTTTGAGATGCATCCATGTGGATTTCTTTTTCTCTGTGAGCTGTATTCCACTGTAAGAGTATATGTTTGTTTATTCATTCATCTGGTTTGCTTTGGGGTCGGTTCCAGTTTGGGGCTATTATGAATAAAACTGTGGTGGACCTGTGTGTGGCCATACACTTCTGTCTTTTCTCGGGTAAGTACCTACAAGCAAGTTTTAGCTACTCAACTAGGTGTGAAATGGCGTTTGTTGTGGGTTTACTTTGCTTTTCACTAATGACAAGTGATCTTGAGCTTTTTTCATGTATTTATTTTCCATTCATGTATTTTTGGTGAAATGTCCAACACTTTTGCCTGTATCCATATACTAGCAGCAAGTACCTGGAAGAGGAAATATTTACATGTTTAAAAGATACCATTTATATCAGCATCAAAAGCATCAAACACCTAGGAAAGCATTGGACAAAAGATACACAGCCGCTCTACACTGAAACTCAGACTGTTGCGGGAAACCAAAGAGGAGCTGAGTGAGTGGAGGGATGTAACATGTCCATGGAGCTGGAAGGCACATAAGGTGTTCGCTCCTCCCCAAATGAATCTGTATCTTCAGTGCAACCCTAATGAACATCCCAGCAGCCTTTTTTTTTTTTTTTTTAGAAATACTTGGAAGGAGTGCATGTTGGCCCTGATACTGAGCTGGCCCACCTGCGACAACCCTGCAGGGAGGGTGAGGATGAAGCAGTGTGTGCCACATGATTCTAAAATTAACATTAACATGCAAAGAAGTTAGAATTAGCCAAGACTCTCTTGAAGAACAGTACATTTGGAAGACATACACTGTTAGATGGCAAGACTTTTGGAAAGTTGCAGTAATTAAGTAAGCATGGTTTCTGTACAAAGGTTGGGCAGAAGAAACACATGTTCAGAAACAGAAACACACATAAAAGATTTGCACCAAAGATGTCACTGTAAATTGGCACAGCATTACCTCGTCAGCAAATAGACCTGTATATGAAAAACCCTGAATCTTGAACCTTGCCTCGTGCCATACACATAAATTAATTTTAATGGGTCATACATCTAAATGTGAAAGGCAAAACAGTAAAGCTGTTACAAGCAAATATAGCAGAATGTCTTTAAGACCTTGGCAATTCTTGCCAAGAAAGAAAGAAAGATACTTTCTTTCATCGAGGAGTAAGAAACAAAAGACATTACACGAAGAAGATTGCCAGTCCAGGCTTTGTAAAAATTAAGAATTTACTTCCATCATCTTGGCTGGTGTGGCTCAGTGGATTGAGCATGGGCCTGCGGCGAACTGAAAGGTCTCTGGTTTGACTCCTGGTCAGGGCATGTGCCTGGGTTGTGGGCCAGGTCCCCGGTTGGGGGCATGCGAGAGGCAGTCATTTGATGTTTCCCTCACACATTGA